CGTGTCCCCTGAGTTGGCAGGTGGATTCTTAACCACTGTGCCACCAGGGAAGTCCCCAGATGATCTACTCTTAATTGGCATATTTAGTTGATTTATATTTAATATATAATAATTACCAATATATTTGGACTTAAAGCTATCTTTTAGTATTTATGTTTTATTTGTTCCTCCTCATTCTCCTTTCTTTTGGATTAAATTTTTTTTGTTATTCAAATGCCCCCCTCTGTTAGCTTGTTCTACATTTATGTACTACTATTTTTTTTAATTTTTAATTTATTTTTACTTTTGGGTGCATTGGGTCTTCCTTGCTGTGCGTGGGCTTTCTCTAGTTGCGGCAAGCAGAGGCTACTCTTCATTGCGGTGCGTGGGCTTCTCATTGCAGTACCTTCTCTTGTTGCAGGGCACAGGCTCTAGGTGCGCAGGCTTCAGTAGTTGTGGCTCGCGGGCTCAGTAGTTGTGGCTTGCAGGCTCTAGAGCGCAGGCTCAGTAGTTGTGGTGCACGGGCTTAGTTGCTCTGTGGCATGTGGTGTCTTTCCAGACCAGGGCTCCAACCCGTGTCCCCTGCATTGGCAGGCGGATTCTTAACCACAGTGCCACCAGGGAAGCCCTGTACTACTACTTTTTAAGTGGTCCCTCTAGAGATTACAGCATGCATCCCTGACCTATTTGAGTGTAAGTTGGTTCTTTTGTCACTTACCGGAAAATGTAAAGACTAAAGGTTAAACTAAAACAAGTTATGTACTCCCCCATTGCTTTTTATGCAGTTGTTGTTTATTTTTTTTGTATGTGTATGTATGTATTTATTTATTTATTTGGCTGCGTCAGGTCTTGGTTGCAGCATGCGGGATCTTTGTTGAGGTGTGCAGGATCTTTCATTGCGGCGTGCAGGCTCAGTAGTTGTGGTGCGGGCTTAGTTGCCCGCGGCATGTGGGTTCTTAGTCTTACAGCTGCACCGTCCAAGGTAATTTGTCATTTTTTGGTGCCACCATTAAAGATTTTCTTCTGTGTCTTTGGTAAAACTACTGAAGTTTTACTATCATGTCTATTTATCTGGCTTGGGGTTTGAAGTACTTTTTGAATCTCTGGCTTGATGATTTTCGTGAATTTTGGGAAGTTCTCAGTTATTAGCTCTTCAAATATTGCTTCTGCTGTATTCTCTCTTTCTCCTCTCCTTCTGGGATTTCAGTTACTCATGTGTCATACCTTTCTTCTTTTTAAGTCTTTTCAGTAGTTTCTGTCCTTATCATGCTTCAGTATGCATATTTTCCAGACCTATGTAGCATTCACTAATTTCTCTTCAGTTGTGTGTAGTCTACTGTTACATCTGTCTGTGGAGTTCTTAACTTCATTTGTTATATTTTTCAGTTTTAGTGTTCATTTGATTCTTTTTTTTTAAATATTCTGTCCCCTGCTCAAACTCTCCAGCTTGTCTTTTAACTTACTGAACACATTAATCACATATATTTTAATGTCCTGTAATTTTAAAATTGGGGTGTTTTGTGGTTCTGTTTCTGTTGTCTGTTTTTCTTTTGTTCTTGAGTCAGTTGGTCCCGTCTCCTAGTATGCTGGGCAGTTTTTATTGAACACCAGACATTGTATATGAAAAATTCAGAGATCGTTTGAAGTTCCTGATCGTAATTTTCTCCAGTGAGGGCTTACTTTTGCTTCTGACGGGCCTTTAGTGTGGGGACCTGTCACTTTACTCCAGCCAGGAACCAATCTGATTTGAACACAGGACTTCAGTCTTTGGGCAGGCTGGTCTATTTCAGGTTCATCCCTTCTCCTAGCATATAGCCCATTGGGGTCCTGACTGAAGGCCTGAGGTCTTCACCAGGGCCCACATCTTTGGTGCACTTGGAACACCCACTTAAGAATTCTGGAAGTTTTCACATTCTCAGCTTGGAATTCATTGCTTGAGAACCTCAAGGGGAAAAGTGGGACCGTATGTTTGACTTGCCTGTCTGTTTTCCTTTTTTTTCTCATGCTTTGGCCCCTTAAGAGATCTCATTTCCTTGGTAGCTATCTTGTGCCTTAAAACAGATGAAAACATTTGTTTGTTTTTTTTATAAAAAAGTATCAAATTTATTTCAATATCTAGTTTCATTTTTAAGTTAAAGCTTTTAGACAATTTTTTTTTGTAATTTAAGATTCATTATCAGAGGTGAGGAAAATGTTAATAAGCTATTAATTACTGACAACAAATAAAATTATTAACCATGCATTTATAAAAGACATGTTAAAGAGTAAAATGTTCCAGTTACACTACTTAACTGAAGGAAATATCCTTCAGCCCTTTATTTCTAATTATAACACGTTCTCATTTTGACATAATTTACACCTTTTTCACCCAATTAATACTATGCTAAACAAAATTTTTCCAACTGTTAAGCCTCTCTTTACTTAACTGTTACTCTTTTAAAAGTTCCTTAAAAGAAATTTGAAATTTTAATTTTCACCATGAATCTGTTTGAACAAAAAAGTAAAGGACAGGGCTTCCCTGGTGGCGCAGTGGTTGAGAGTCTGCCTGCCGATGCAGGGGACACGGGTTCGTGCCCCAGTCCGGGAAGATCCCGCATGCCGCGGAGCGGCTGGGCCTGTGAGCCATGGCCGCTGAGGCTGCGCGTCCGGAGCCTGTGCTCCGCAACGGGAGAGGCCACAACAGTGAGAGGCCCGCGTACCGCAAAAAAAAAAAAAAAAAAAAATACTACCACATAAACTTCCTCTTCATCAAATCCATGTAACCTAAAAATCTGATATGAAACATTTGTGTAAGTCCAGGTCCTGAAGAGATTTCTGCTGACATTTGAGAAAGCGGTTGTGAGCAGAGAAAAGCTGATTTAAATTTTCAGTGTTTACACTAAGCAGAGAGGAACGGGGTTTCTGGTTTGGTTGTCACCATGTTTGAGCTCTCGTTAGCAAGTTCCAGATGTGACTTCTGTATAGCGCTTTATAATTTTCAAAGTGGTCTTCATATATATTGTTCCATAGATACCAACAACTGCTCTGCAGCAATAAACATCCAGGGACATGTTATTATCAAAGTTATATAAGAAATATATTTGGTTCAGGAAAATTGAAAAATACAGATAAGTGAAAAACGATCTGATACCCCCCTGCTCACAGGTAGCACTGTTCTATGTGGATCCCTCCGGAGTCTTCTCGACACGTGTAATCTTCCCTGGGAAGATGGGCTCCATAATCCACCTCACCCACATTGTGAATTTTCAACAGTTATTATAAAGAGTTACTGGTTTGCGTAGCATAGCTACATAAAAGATTTGTGGCAAAGAGGAAATTATAACAGGTGGACCCCCCCGCCCTGGCTTTCTTCTCTGTGAATCTTTCAAGTCAGGAGTGCTTGGCCTCCGTTGAGTATGATGTTCTTCTGACTTCAGAGCCTTGAATATGCTTTGTTAAGCATCGTACAGGAAGTTAGGTGGAATTGTGGGATTTGACTGTGACCTGCAGCCTTTACCACACAGCCTTGTCCTGTTCCTTGTGTGGGGCACCATGCAGGACAGCGTGGGGACCCGTCTGAGTTGAGGGCCTTCTGCATAGTCTGGCCCTCGGCATCGCCTTGTTTGTGCTGTTCTGTAGGATGCTTGGACTCCTTTCAAAGAGGCGACCCTTGTAGGTCCACTTTGCAGGGGAGGAGCCTGCCCAAGGTTAGTAGCTGGTAAGTGGTGGTGAGGGCAGATTGGGCCCTGGCGGTCCAGTGGTTAAGACATGGGCTGTCACTGCCAAAGGCCCGGGTTCAATCCCTGGTCCAGGAACTAAGATCCCGTGAGCCACGTGACGTGGGAAAAAAAGTTGGACTTACAAGTGAAATGAGGAAGTGTCCTTGCCATCTGTGCCTTTGTCTTGGTCGTTTTTCTGTGGTTTCGAGGGCGCTATAATGTGAGAAGATGAGCTTTGGGGTCAAGTGGCCTTGTTCAGGAGCTGCCTTGTCTGCCTTCCTTCTGATGGGTGGGGACGGACGCGGGGCGAGTCCCGCATGTCTGTTGGGGTCTGGGTGGGAGCTTCTCCTTCAGTGCTGGGCTCCCAGAGGGTGGGGGGGAGAGAGCTCTGGTCTGGGTGCCCTCCCTCCACGTGATTCTATAGACCGCACTCCCTGCCGCTGGAGCTGGTGCAGTGAAGGGTGGGCGCTGGCCTTGGCCCGATGTGGAGCCGTACAGCCCCAGAGGAGAGCGGTTACCGGGCGGTGGAGGGTGCGCTGCAGCACCCCAATCCTCAGGCAGCACTCAGCATGAGAGAGCCGACGTGCATGGACTGCAGGATCCATGTGCCAGCAGGAGAAGCAGATGAGAGGGGGCGTGTGCTCCTGTGTGAGATTCTAGAGAACACAGTGATGGGTGGGGGTGGGGCTGGACAGGGGATCGGAAGGGGCACAAGGAAACTGGGGGCGGTGGACGCACTCATCCTCTTGGTCATGGTGGCGGCTGCACAGGGTGGACGCGTGTCAGAAGCCCTCACACTGCGCTCTGTAATTGTGTGCAAGACATCATGTGCCTTCTCTCAGGGACCCAGGGTTTTAGGAGCACAGGGGACGCAGCGTCCGTGTTCCTGCAGGCCGGCCGAGCAAACCAGATGGCAGCTCCCCTCATCCTCTGAAATGGGGATGATAAACCCCGCTGTTCACCGGGGTGTACCTTTAACCTTTTTTACGTTTGAATATACAAATGAATTACGTATTCTGAAAGTTAAATCCTCGCGTTTGCTTAGAGAGAGAGAAGCTCTGTCAGAAGCAGCGTGGGGAAGGTCAGCCATGTTCTCTTACACTCATTCAGCATCGTTGTGGTTCCTGCCCATGAATTCCATAACTATACTATTTTCTGTGGGTTTAAAAACAGAGGACAGGAACCAGAGCCCACTTCTCCTGATGCTTTTCCAGGGCAGCAGGACTCTGCCCTCCTGCTCATAGGACGAGGCCGCCCGCTCCCACTTAGCAATGTGCGTGGGCCTGTGGGGCTCATTCTGGGTCTGCTCTCCTCGGTTTACAGGTGTGGAAGCCAGGCGTGGTCACAGAACCAGCCGAAGGCGGAGTGGGGCCGGTTCCTGCTGACGACGACGGGCAGGTGGGTCCGGCAGGCGGGGCGAGCTCACCAGGGCCAAGCCCGAGCCGCAGCTCTCCTCACACCACGTCTGTGAGTGATGGGGTGAGCGTGGGCCAGACCTTGAGACAAGAGGTTTCTGGATTTTCTTTCACCTTGAAGAGTTGATGGAGACCCCAGAGAAGGAAGCAACACTGCCCCCTCTGCTCCCCTAAACAGAGGAAGGCGGGATTCCTATTTCCAAAATCAGGGTCTTCTGACCAGCCCTTCAGTTGGAAACAACTGCAGAGTCTGGATGAATTACGTAGCACTATTGGAGGCACTGCAGTGTAGGAATTAAGATACGTGGCAGCTGTGGCCTGTGGGCTGGGGAGAGGCAGGTGGAGGGCTTAGACCTGCCCGGGAGGAAGGGCCAAGGTACGAGTGGGCTTCAGCCTCTGCTCACTGAGGACCAGTGCTGCGGTTCCCGTGGTAACCGATGCGTGCACGGTGGATGGTCTCTTCAGGGAAGAGAGTGGCATGGGCAGGGCGGGGACCCTGGGCAGCGCGGCAGTCCCCTCCCTCCGTCACACTTCTGCCCTTCTAGGCCCCCTGGCCTCAGACCCTGAAGTGGCCAGGCCCGGAAGGTTTCCATGGCCCGGAGGGTTTTGAGCTCCCAAGTGCTGCGGGGCTGCACGTGCAGAAATGGAGCGGGGTGAGCGTGGCGAGGGGTGCAGGGCCGAGGAAGCAGCGCACGTTTGCCTTAAAGACCAGGTGGCTGCACCACCAACTGCCTCCCCGTGGGCAGGAGGAAAGCACGTTTTCCTTAATGCCGAGGACCACGAGTGTGTGCACGGATAGATATGCTGTTTCAGCAGGTGGTATGCCGGTCACATTTGGGATGGTTTGTTTCGTCCAGAAGGTGTGACCTTTAATCAGTTAAAGGTCTTGATGGAGGAAGTGCTCTCAGGAGTGGACTTGCTGTCCCTTTGGGGTAGTGATTCTGGCCACGTGGCAAGCCTCCCATCCAACAGCTCCCACTGCAGGCCTCTGTGAACAGTGTGCAGTGGTGCGTCCCCAACACCTCTGTGTGAGCAGGGACCCCCACAGTGCCCAGGCCAGCCCCCCGCACGCAGATGCGGGCCTGGGACATGGTGAGGCTTGAGCTCAGTGAGGAGTAGGTGTTGGGTGAAGATGGATGTGACTTCTGGGGGTTGGGCCCTGCCAGTTCCAGCACGTGTGGCACTGAGCAGAAGGATTGTGGGTTGAGACATGAGGCTGCCACGGTTGGAAACGACTCCAGCATCCAGAGTCAGGAAGTGGGTGGCAGGGTGCTGGGTACAGGGGCCAGGAGGACTCCCAGGGCTGTGCTAAGGCCCACTATTGAGTGGGCCTCATGTCTGACCGGTCGGGGAAGCCATGTAGGCTCCGTCTTTCCTCTGGTCTCTGTTTATTTTTTGTCTGAAATGACCTTAATCATTGTTCACATCCCTGCCCCGTCCCACACTGTTTCATTGGCTGTGTTCCCAGTGGCACCTGGCACGGAGACAAGTGCCTTTCCTGCTTAACCTCAGGTTGTAGCTGGGCCATGTCCCCACGTCGGCAAGTGAATGCATCGCGTGCCAGGCGCCATTCCGAAGCTGCCACCTGCCGGAGGAGAGATGGGCACCACACACCACAGTTAGCAACTCTGTGTGGGCCAAGGCCTAGTGACTAGCAAGGACCAGTGTCCCACAGGCAGATTTGGGATTTTAGGGGCCAGTAGAATCACAAGTAAAATTCTAGGAGGTACTTGAGGCGACTGCACTTGTATGTGGCCAAATTACAATGTTAAGAAAAGCAAACTGCACCTTATTGGCCCATCAGAGACCTCCCACCTTGCTTAGGAGAGAGTTAGGGAGTGGAGTATCTGGTCTCCGGTGTTTCCTCCAGACCAATGTGAAGGCGAGCGGCACAGGGACTGTCTCGCCGTGGCAACCAGAAGCCTTGCTTCTCAAATTGAGCGTGTGAAGCTGCTGCAGGACAGGAATCTGAGTGTGTTTCTGGAATGCTCAGCGGACTTGGTAAGCCACTTATGGCATTACTTTTATGCCAGAACAAGCAGGAGCATAACGTGAAGCATAATGCAGTATGTGCCTGAATTTCTGAGTAAAAAATCACAAGACTTCTGCTGAAGGATGCTGACCAAGGTGAAAAAGTGATTCCATGAGGCCTCACCCTCTGGGCTCTGCGGGGCTGTGTGGGGTGAGCACTCAGGCTGGGCTGCAGGTGGTGGGGCCAGCAGAGAGGTCTAATCGACATTCCTCCCAGGAGTGGTGCAAGTTAGGAATCCTCTTTCATCCAGAGGATTTCCAGGGGGTAGGAGGTCTCCCATAAATGGAGGAATCACACTTCTAGTATTGGACAACCACACAGTTCAGGGAAAACTGCTGAGAATAGCTAGAAACGCTGGGAATTGGTTTTCTTTTTAATCATATTGAAGCCTTTGGAGAGCTAACCAAGCAGGAAGGAATGGCAGGCCCATAGGAGAAGGGAGCCCAGGGAGACAGTCTGGAAAGTGTGGCTGGTCCTTGGGCTCCAGGGGGCTGGGGCCTGCGTGGGAGGAAGGTGCCCCACACGTGGTCAGGATCCACCCCCCACCCTCTGAGAGCCTGCAGCCCAGCCCGGACTCTCTCAGTTCCTGACTTTGGATTAAGGTGGCTGGATTCCTAGTGCACCAGCCACAGGCCAGGGTAAAATGCATACGCTCTAGGGAAGAAAGCATCATCCCAGGCAGCCAGTTTAGAAAGATTTTCACACAGTGTCTGGCTTTCCATCCAGAATAACCAGGTACTGAATGAAAAATAATCAGGCACTCAAGAATACAAGACAATGTGATAAAAAATGCGGAGGAGGAAGCCTTGGGGATCCAGGTAAGGAGGTTTACGGATACCTCCTTGGTGGAAATCTGTCAGGGCTGGGGCTGGGAGTGGGGGAGTGTTCTCAGACAGACTCTGGGCTCTGGGAAGAGCAGAGCTGGAAGGAATGGATTATAATCCACTGGATAAAATAAAAATCTGCTCGGGTACATAGGACGCCAACTGATAAATACAGATCAAGTGATGGGTGTGAACAGGATTTGTATATAATCTCAAAGTATCTCCGCCACAAATTACCTCTTAATTACAAAGGAAAAGTAATAGATTTAGAGTGGAAACACTTGGCAGGCACTGGGTTTGCCACCAATATTGGGACCAACCGGCATGGTGTTTTTCTTTTCTTATAAATTTATTTTATTTTATTTATTTTTATTTTTGGCTGCGTTGGGTCTTCATTGCTGCGTACGGGCTTTCTCTAGTTGCAGCGAGCGGGGGCTACTCTTTGTTGCAGTGCGCGGGCTTTTCATTGTGGTGGCTGCTCGTTGCAGAGCACGAGCTCTAGGCGCACAGTCTTCAGTAGTTGTGGCGCAAGGGCTTAGTTGCTCCGTGGCATGTGGGATCTTCCTGGACCAGGAATCGAACCCGTGTCCCCTGCATTGGCAGGCAGATTCTTAACCACTGCGCCACCAGGGAAGTCCCATGGTTTTCCTTGAGGTGATACAACATCGCTTCTGTGACGTTCTGCCAGAAATGTTAGGTGCAGATCTCACGTGAGACATTCTGTGGAACAACTGGCCCAGGCTCTTGAGAATGTCACTTCGGGAAGGAGGTGGACTAGGAGCCAGGTTGAAGGCGGCTGAAGACACGACAGTCAGTGTGTGGCTGTGGCCTGCATCTTGGAACATAGGAATAGCTCTAGAGGCCACTCCTGGGACAGTGGACGGGGTCCGAGCTCGACCTCCATGTCAGGGTTGCGCTGCCTGCTGTTTTTGGTCTGTGGCGTGTCTGTCCGCTGTGCATCCCAAGTGTGGGTTGATGTGGCACTCTGGCCTCGGGCGCTGGGCCTGGAGGAGAGCCTGCCTGGGGCGGGTGTGGCAGGGGGGGCAGCAACAGCCGGCACCACCTCACCTTCCTAGGAGCTGCGGGAGGTGGAGAGGTCGATGATGAGGAGTGACATTTCAAAGTGCCTGGGTGTACAGACGTCTCTTAAGACCCTGCTTTCAATTCCTTTGGCTATATGCAAAGAAGGGAAATTGCTGAATCATATGGTGACTCTTTTAATTTTTAGGAGCTGCCACACTGTGTTCCACAGAGACTGTACCATTTTACATTCCCACCAAAAGCTTACAAAGTTCCCTAGAAACAGAAAATGATTACCAACCAGAATTCCAACCCAGTAAAAATACCCTTCAGGAATAAAGGGGAAATTTAGACAGTTTCAGACCAACAAACACCAAGTTGTCAGCCGCAGCCCCTTTACTAAAGGACATACTTAAGGGTGTTCTTCAGGCAGAAAGAAAATGCTCTCAGGTGGAAACACCCAATGCAGGAGGGAAAGGGCAAGTATGTGGGTAACTCTAGGTGACTGCTGGTGGGATAAAATAATACTGATGATGTCTTGTGGGATTTAAGACATTACACTGAATTAAAATCCAGGATAACAACAGCACATGTGTGTGTGTGGAGGTGAGTGGAGTTAATTATTTTTGGGGGGCATGCGGGATCTTAGTCCCCTGACCAGGGATCAAACCCGTGTCCCCTGCAGTGGAAGCTCGGAGTCTTAACCATTGGACTGTCCCTAGTGGAGTTAATTCTGACCATGTGTTGCCTGGGAACAGGTAAAATGCAGTTAATTGGACCTTGATGCATCAAGGGTACCTATTATAATCTCTAAAGGAACCACTGAAAGAATAGTAAAAGGCTTACTTTGTTAGAGGGAGGAGATGGAAAATAAAAAATATTCCAAAAGAAGGCAAGAAAGAACAAAAGAAGATAGAACAGCTGTGACAAACAGAAAGCAAACAATGAGATGGTGGATCCACTCTCTGTAACCACATTGAATGCAACAGGACCAAAGGAAGCAATTAAAAGGAAAAATGGTCAAACTGGAACTTGAAAAGTCTAGCTGCTTACAAAGGACACACAAAAGTAAAAGGATCTAGGAGGGTTGAGTGTGAAAGGATGGAAAGCAAAATCCTGCCAGCAGCAACCCCAGAGAGCAGGCGACAGGGAGGCCGGACGGTCCCCGGCGGGCTTTTATTCCGAGGACTGGAAACTACAGAGAGCTTGGAGGTTTCCCTGGATGCCGCATCTGGGTTCTGATTCCTGGCCGTCTTGTGGGGAGCAGCCCAGCGTCCCCCGAGTGATATTTCCCAGAACTTCCTCTGTCGCGCGGCAGCCTGCAGCGCCTCTGTCCTGAGAGCCAGCCTTCCTGTCCACGGTCAGCACCTCGCTGGTCTCCCTCCTTTCTGTTCTCTTTCGACAGCCCTTTGCTTCCCTTTGTTCTGGACTGGGAGCTGTGTACATAGTGGGGTTTGCTCTGTACTGGAGGCCGTGGAAAGGATCCATGTTTTTACTGCTTATCGCCTCAAAGCTGGTTTTTCTATACGCGTGAAAGATGTGCCTGGGACCTGTCAGGAGGGAGCAGACGGCCCTGGTGCATTGGCGTCGCAGGCTTGGTCCTGCCCTCATGGGTGTGCGGGGTGCTGGCCACGACGTGACGGGGACACTGAAGAGCAGCTTAGCGCTCCCTGTGATCTGAGTTCCAGTACAGTGGCTGTTAATGGTGACAGCACTGGCGGTTTTGTTTTTAAAGAACCAGAGGAATAGCAGTGTCCCTGAGAAAGAGCGTGACGTTGCAGACGTCTGCTCCATGTCAGCGTAAATGTAGGACCAGGTGCGTGCGGGTCCCCGTCCGTGAACATGTCCCCATCCCTTCCCATAAGCCTCTGTGACGCTGACGCTGCCCTCATTTGGCCAGAACATGTTAGTGGGCTCCAGGGATGCCCTCAGGCTGCCGTGGGTGGGTCAGAAGGACCGTGGTGCGTGGTGACTGACCCTCTGCAGTGTCCCCCTGCGGTGTGGGGATGATGAGCACCTGATCCTGAGCTGGCGGGAGAGTTGTGTGCCACATCACCATGCACTACTGTGGCCTCAGTGGCAGAACAGGTGGGGTGCCATGGCTGCACTGTTTGTGCTTGTGGCCCCTGGGGAGGTGGGCCGCTCCTCTCCAGCTGCGCTGCCCGGCCTGGCCCACGTGTGCTGCATGACAGGTGTCCAAGATGGAAAGGTGCCTTTTCCTGAGTGTGTGCACAGCACAAACCAGGGCTTCCAGAAGTTCTGTTCTTCCGGTGGTGGGCGTCCACACGGGGCTCCGTCAGTTTAGAAGTGTTGTGGTCCCTTCTCCTCCCGCATCGAGGACACAAGTCCAAGGGACGAGGTGACTCCTACCATGTCCCTGGAGTCAGTGCAGCTGCTGTTCATGAGCGCCCTGACCAGAGTGAGGCTGGAGCCAGGGGCGTTTGCACGGGCTCGATGGGCCTCCAGCACGTCGTAGCCCTCGGCAGCCCGCGGGGACTGACCAGCGTTGCTTCCAGGGAGGCTCTGGGAAGAGGAGGCAGTGTGGGGAACAGCAGCGAAGGGCCGGTAGGGCCGTCGTGGGATGAGCAGAGCAGAGCAGACTCCAGAAATCGATTCATGTGTTCGGGGAGTTAGGTGTGAAAGTATTCAGAACAAGGTGGATTGTGCAGTACTTAATGCTAACGGCTGGCTCTCCATTTTGATGCAAGGGAGTAGGTAGGTTTTACACACACATATTTCAGGTAGAGATCTAAATTTTAAAAAAACAACTATTGAAGCATTTGAGGAAAAACAGAAGAATATATTTGTAATCTTTGAATGAGGAAAGCTGGCCTATGTAAGATACAGAAAAATCTATAAAGGGAAAGATTGGTAAATCTGATTTCACAGAAATAAAAAACTTTTGTAATATCAAGATCAACATAAACAATGTTAAAAAGTGACATTTAGGGAGAAAATATTTTTCCCGTATATAACCAGAGGTTAATAGTAAGAATATTTAAAGGCATCTGTAAATCACTAAGAAACTCATAAACAGTCTAATAGAAAATGGACAGAGGTATGAACAGGTAAAGAGGAGGGAATTTAAGTGACACCCAAACCTCCAGCCTGACCACCAACCAGGGAAATGCAGACTAAACCCAGGTGTCAGTTTCTGGCTATTCACATGACAAGTGGTGTTGGGTCCCACCCAGGGAGTGCTGGACTGCTCCTGGGAGGAAGTGGCCGGTGGGGCATCGAGACAGCCACTGTTAAACCCACAGGTCCCTTCACCCACCATTCCCCTCATCCGTCCTGTGGCAGTTCTCAGTGCACGGGAGTCCTGGCCCACTCCGTGGTCCTCTTGAGGGGGCCGTGGCACCGGTGCTGCGGCTGTGCCCACAGGGTCGGGTGGCTTTGCGGCTGATTAGCGAGTCTGCGGGCAGCGCTCTGTAGGAGCAGGGAGAGCAGAGCAGCCGTGCCCCGTTTCCAGTTATGTGCATAAAAATGCCAACCCAAATACCGCTCCGTGTGTTCACTTACACGTCTGCCTCATGTGGAGGGAAGATGTGGGAGATGCCCATCTCCCTGGGAAGGACAGCGGGGTGGGAGGCAGGGTGGAGACGCCAGCCCTTTCTGCTCCGTCTTCTGAATTGTTTGCGTCTGCAGTTGACATATTGGGATATCAGATGATTATGAAAATGTGGATAAATGCACGAGGACGTTGTCCGGCAGCTGCTAACGTGCCTCTTTGTTGGCAGGTATGGATCCTGGCGGGAGCCTGTCAATCCCTACTATGTCAACTCTGGCTATGCCCTCGCCCCAGCAACCAGCGCCAACGACAGTGAGCAGCAGAGCCTGTCCAGCGATGCTGACAGCCTGTCCCTCACCGACAGCAGCGTGTAAGTGCCCCTGCCTGGGAGAGCAGCCCCTAAGGGGCAGCCAGGGCCTTCTCCCCAGAAGCTGTTTTGGGGCCCTCCCCAGTGGGGTGTCAGTGCATCTGCATTGCAGGGAGTGTCACTAGAAATCCGCAAACAAACTGGAGCCAAGGTTTGTTGTAGTTGCTTCCCTCCAGGCCAAGGCTGCTGGAACCTTTGGAAGAGGGAAAGCCTCAGAGCTGCCTGGGCTGGCGCCCCAGGTTCTGGGTCTCTGGTGTTCACGTCGGACGCGCGGCCAAGGCGGGCCGTCCCCGAGGGCGTCTCCGGTCCATCCTGCTCTGCGCTCACGCTCCTTTAATCTGGAAGCCGTCTCACCTGCTCAGCAGTGCTTGTCGTCCCCTCAGTGTGGTTCTGTTCTGCCCGACAGCTCAGGGGTGGCCACCAGGGGCCACAGGAGCCACATTGAGCCTCTGTGTCACTTGATGGTGACAGCTTCCTTCATCGTCCTCTCCAGGGAAAACCCTCCCTTGGGGGGAAGTGCTTGTTTCTGATACCTTTCTCTTTGGTTCAGCAGATAACTTTGGGGACCCAGGCGTGCGTCAGAAGTTTGATTGTGTCAGACCATGCCCATGTCACATCAGGGTGTTGCCTGTCTGCCTGCTTGGGTCACGTGGGGCCCTGAATCCACCACCCATGAGTGTCAGGCTTGCCCAGCTTTCGGTCGTACGCCATTTGCCATCTGACCGCCACCGAGGGGAAGGTTCTGGCCGGGCCCAGGCCCAGGGCAGGAGGCAACCTTTGGGTGTGAAGCCAGCAGGTGTGGGCCCGTGGCCGCATCCGCAGGTGTCTTGTCCCCACGAGAGCATGTGGGGTTGTGGCCCTGGCTGCTCTCAGCGGGTCATGGGGACTCTGCCCCCCGCCCTGGCTAGGGTCTAGAGGTCAGATAGGTCTAAATAAAGAGGAAAAGGCTGCCGAGCTCGTCTTTGTAGGTGAGCAGGCCTTTCCACGTTGAGGTCTTGCTCTGTGGGCCGTCTTCTCGGTATACGCTTTGTGCTGCCTGTGTCTTTGCACTGCTTTCCACGCTGCATCCCGCCGGACGGGATGGGGCAGGCTGCTGGATGGGATGGGGGGTCAGGCCGCTGACGGGACGGGTCCCTGAGCAGGTTCCTACAGCCCCGTGCTGTGTGCACCTGGTGCCCTTTCTCTTCTCTTCCCCTTTGGTGACCACATGGTGGAGGCGTCATCCCGTCAGGTTGAGCCTCTGTAGGGCATTTTTCATTCATCATTACCTTCTCCTTTGTCTTGAATCTTTAGTATAAAATGTTGACATGTTTTTAACAACTTAGTTGAAATTACTGGGGTTTCAAACACTACCTTCCGTGAATATGAAGTATCACATAAAAGGGTTCCAACGAACTGCAGCCCTTCAGACCCCCGGGAGCAGCTGACAGCACGAGATCTGTTTTCCTCTTCCCCAAAACTCAGTTACTGCAATGACAATTAGTCTCTTAATTCTCTCCAAGAAAAGGACATGTGTTTGCTAAAGGGAAGATCTAAAAATTTTTTAATATTTTTTCCCTGATGTTCTATTCATCTTGGTTTACACTGAGACTCAGAAATGTAGGCATAGTCGAGAATTAGGAATGTAAAATTGTGGCAGATATTTGAATGTATATGAGGCAAAAAATAGGATCGTGTGTTTCATCTAAATTATTTCTGATGGCAACTCAGGGTCGCCTCCACCTGGTGAAGTGCTTCCTAGTCCATTGACTTCGGGCATAGATTCTGAGGATGGTGCCTGATCCTCAGAAGCGTATGGATTTTAGGTGCCCTGTCAGAGTACATGAGAAACAGACAAGTTGGTGGCTTGGGACACCTGAACAAGCCCTGGGACATGTGAGAGCGTTCAGATGTACTTGACGCTCTTCTTCGCTGATGCCTGTCCTCTGGAGCAGCCTGGCCCTGCTGGACTGCTGAGCCATCTGCACTGTGGCACTGCCTGGGACCCTGACAGCCAGGGACACCCGGGTACACCGCAGCCTCTCTCTGCCCTGCTCTGAACCTAAGTGCACCCTTTCCACCCAGCCTGGGGTGCAGCCCTGCCCGCCCACAAAGCCACAGAGCTGTGGATGTGTGTCTGCCTGGGATGGGGCCAGGACACGCTGAGTGCTGCGTGCTTGGTGCCTTTGCTAGGCGCTCTAGCAGTCGATGCAGTGAGATCAGAATTGTCATGGCTGCGTGTTCACATCCTGGTGTCCAGTGAAAACAGCACTGCTCTGGCAGCACTTGCCCTGTGGGCAGTGCTTGAGCAGGATGCAAGGGGTTAGGATCACTGGCACAGACGTTCACTGCACCTGCCGGACAACTGGGAGGCTAGAGTATTTCAGTAGCAGACGATTGGGAGGGCCATCTCTTCGAGCTGTCGGAGGTGGCAGCACGCCGCAGAGTCCTTCAGAGACAGAAGCGGGGACCAGAGAAGGCTCCTATTGGCCACTGTGCTCCCCGGAGTAGCTTTCAAATGGCAGGAGGGAGCTGCCGAGTTCTTAAGGGACAGCACGTGTGCAGTGAGCCATGTGTTGGATCTGCTACTTCTCTTGAATAAGTGCTTCGTTATTTTAAAGACAGTATGTAATTTAAAAAAAATTTTATTTACTTATTTGGTTGCTCCAGGTGTTAGTTGCAACAGGTGGGCTCCTTAATTGCAGCTCCAGGACTCCTTAGTTGCGGCACACGGTCTCCTTAGTTGTGGCATGTGAACTGTTAGTTGCAGCATGCATGTGGGATCTAGTTCCCTGACCAGGGATCAAACCCAGACCCCCTGCATTGGGAGTGTGGAGTCTTATCCACTGCACCACCAGGGAAGTCCCAACAGTATGTAATTTAATTTTTATTTTTATCATAATCTTCAAAAGGGTTTATAACTAAAATTTACATCAAGGAAGCTAATTTGAGCATTTGACAGAGAGATTACACTGCATTACCAATTTACCTTGGAAGAAAGCAGAATATAGGAACCTTGGAAATCTCTTTCAACGGTATCTAGATTGTCTTGGCCACCGATTTTGCAGCCCTCCAATGTTTCCAGTCCATTTAGAGCACCCCTTCCAGGTAGGCACACCATATCCTGCCTGGGCAGTAAAGCAGGGGTCAGCACACATTTTCCATAAAGGATCACGAATAGTCTCTGTCCCATGTTCCTCCTCTGCTTTAAAAATATAAAAGTCATTCTTAGCCCATCACACCTCAGAAAAATAGGCTGTGCGGGCCCTGCTCTAGATAAAGCCAGCTCAGCCGAACTTGGTTGAGCCATTCTATTTGTGCTCACTCTGGACTGTCTCTTTCTCCTGGACAGGGATGGAGTCCCACCATACAGGATCCGCAAGCAGCACCGCCGGGAGATGCAGGAGAGCGTCCAGGTCAACGGGCGCGTGCCTCTACCTCACATTCCTGTAAGTTCGTCTGCACAGCCCTCGCCCTCCCCGTCTCCGAGTTTGGGGCTCACCTGCCCTCCTGGACCCGTGCCCACCCGTTCTCTCCACTCTGACCAGGCTGCTGTGGCACTGGCCTGGCTTCCGAGGAGCTCAGCTCAGGTCCAGGCACGGCACACGGTCACACGCATTCTCGCCCTGTGGCTGGAGGGGGCAGTGCCTGCACAGTCGGTACAGATGAGCAGGGACTGCCCTCCTCACAGCCTTTCCCATCGTGTTAAATGAGGTGCTTCTCCTGGAGGTGGGAGAACCGCTCGGAGCCTGTCGCTGGCTCGGTGCCCAGGCCTGGCCAGACTGGCGGCCGGCGGCTCTGTGGGACAGCGTGGCAGTGCCCCCGTCCTGAGCACCCATGAGCACTGCTTTGTTCGGGATGAAACAAGGCATCGGCCGCCTGTGGCTGAACTGTGGGGCGTCCTGACTTCAAAGCTGCCTCAACTTCACCTCTTGGATAAAAATAACAAGGTGATAGTGGTTCTCCTGATCGTGGGCACTGGGGACCCTCAGAGAGCCCAGTGCAGGGTGGGGCTGGGCAGAGAGTTCCTTTGCTGATGACGGGAGGGATTAGCTGTTCTCGTTTGGACGCGTTGACTTGGAGCGGGAAAGACCTTGCAGGGAAGATGTGGTCTTGTCGCGTTGGTGCATCCACAGTGACTCGTGTCTTCCTGGCGGTTTCTGTGCAGGGAAAGCAGATGCATCTCAGGATTGTTGCACACACCTGCCCTCCATCAGGATTCCTTGGTTAGAGTCTTTTCACTTTTCTGTAGATGCTTTAATTTCCAAATAAGAAAAGTGATATGGTTGAGAAGAGGGCATTTTGTCACCTCCCAGCTACCCCTTGGCACAGATGCGCCTGAACCAGGCACCGATGGTGTCTGCTTAGGGACAAGTGGAAGATGCTATGAGGGCTGTGTGTGCACGTGTGTGTGTACATGTACGCATGTGCGCATGCGTGTGCCTGCCTGTGGGCAGCCTCCTGGGGAGCGCTGAGCTGGCTCATGTCTGGAGCAGCCTGGGCCTGAGCCGAGGCCGTGGCCACACGTGTTCTCTCTGCTCTGTGGACCAGGCTGGGCAGGGGCACAGAGGAGGTGCCCAGCATCTTGTGTCCTGGAAAATAGGGGTGTGAGGGGACATGGAAAGGGTCACAGTCGGTGCCGTGGAGTGGGGTCCGTGCGTGGATGCTGACGTGACGGGGGGGGGTCGAGCCCATTGATGAGCAGGGTGTCAGCATCGTCCCCAGTGTCCCCTCACAGACCACATACTCCCGGGGGAGAAAGCTGCTTTGTGAAAGGACCTGCCTGGGCTCCTACGTCCGCGACAGGACGCCAGAGCTACCCCTGCGAGGACATAGCCTGAGCCGAGGGCCGTCCTGCACAAGAACTGCCCTTTAACTCTCATAGGTCACGGGGTCATGAGAATCCCATGTGGACCCAGCTGAGGCCACCGCACCCTCCAGGGTGAGCCCAGGGAGGCGGGTCGGGGCTGGAGGTGCTCGTGTGGGAGAGTCCCTGCGTGTAGGAAGCACGCCGTCTGCTGTCAGATCCAGAAAAAATGTTCTTCATGTTGTTCTTGCAACTTGTCTGCAAGTTTGAGATTTTTTCCAAAATAAAATTTTTTTAATTTGAAAAATTAAGCGAAGTGTTAGACAAAACCTACAGAAAGAGCTGGAGTAGCACGGGGGCGGGTTGTCTGCGTGCAGCACTGAGAGGGGCGGAGAGGACAGGGTGGCCCAGAGCCCACGTGCCGCCCGAGCAGCTTCCAGAATCAGAACAGCAGTGCCCTTGGGTCCCGGAAGGCCCTTGGCGGGCAGTCCTGCATCCTGAGGGTCTGTGTTTCCTGGCCCTGAACCTTGAGCCCAGATTCAAGAGAACGGCCCTGCCGGGTAAATGGGGGTGAGAGGAGAAACACCGTGAGTGGCCTGCAGTCGGGGGAGTCCTCCCTGGGGTGCGGCTGTCTGCACGCGGGGAGCGGAGTCCCTGCCAGGGCAAGGGCTGGTCGGGGGCTGGTCGGCAGCTGTGCTCAGCCTGGCCATGTGCTCGGGGCAGAAGGTGCAGCCGAGTTTTGTTCAGTGATGTGGTTTGAGGTTCAAGGTGAAGGGACTTCAGCCTCATCCACCACGACTCACGTGGACGCCTTCCCCGCCAACGGGAAGAGAATGCTGCTTCGCGCCTCTGTTCGCCAGCGACATGTCTTCTGTGGCTGGTGCCCCGGGAGCCCGTGCACATTGTTTGATTGTCGGACCGGATGCTGGGTGGTGGGCGGAGGTGGGTCCAGGGAGCTGGGACTCCTGTTGCCGTTGTATGTCTTTTTTGGGAGTTGCCATTTCTCGGGGGGTCTACTGTGTTCAGTGCTCCTCGCTGTGAGATGCACGGGGGTTTGGGGAGGCCAGTGGAGGGGACGCATGTGGGTGACTGTCGTGGGAGAGAGGTGCCGGCATGTGGGGGAGCCTGTGGCTCTCCACATGTGAAGTGTCTGGTCCTGAGATCCTTAAGGCTGAGAGAGGAGCCTCTTCTTTCTTTGTTGGCCTTTTATATTCCTCAGAAGTTTCACATTTTTATTTACTTGAAATATTTTCCTTTGTGGTTTTTTTAAATTTCTTCAAAGCTGGAGAGGTTACCGTTCTTCCATGAATCTGATAATCATTGTAACTTCTGACAGCTTTCCTATTTTTGGAGTCACAGCTGCACAGTTTGGAGGCTGTTTTCCAGAATGGACTCGCTGGATCTCGTCAAGAACTTTTTCCTTCTGCTCTTGTGTGGTCAGAACCGTGCGCTCTCACCATCTGGATGTCGTGCTGGTGTCACAGCACTCTTGGCTCAGTGCTCCCTGCCCCGGCTCTCCTGCCTCTGACCTCTGACCAGCCAGCTTGGTGGGGCCGGGCTGCCCTCAGGTCCCTATGGTCTGTCCCAACGCCCGCTGTTGAGGACTCCTTCCAGGGCCCGGCCTTTTGGCCGTCCCACCGCCCAGTCGTCTGGGGCTCATCATCCACGCCTACCTTCTCTCAGGACCTTCTAGAAGTGCTGGGCACCCTGACTGCCCTTCTTGGGCATGGGCTTCTTGGCTCCAGGACAAACCTCTGACTGGTGTTGGGCACTGCCTGGCCCTTGGCACCAGCTTCTCCGCCTCTGAAGCATTGGCCTGTGTCCAGGCCTCTTCGAGCCTGTCGTGGTCAGCATCAGCCTCAGTGGCTTGTTTCTGAGCCCTTGATGTCACGTTCTTCCCTAATTTTACATGTTTCTGAGGAACCAGGAACTGTTCTCACTCCTGTCTTGTAGATGAGGAATGGGTGTGCAAATCCAGACCATGTCCAGAGCCCCCTGGTGGGAGGGCTGTGTGGGCACCAGCTCCACCCAGGCTCCCACCCCTGTCCCACGGCTTCCTGCCTCGCCTGCTTCTGTCTGGAGGCCAGGGTTCTACATAGCCACTATCCACCCAGAGGTCAGAGAGGGCCCCTGTGCGCCACCCTGTCCCCAGGCCCTTCCAGGCCCTCCCTCCCTTGGGTCTCCCCTCTCCCTCACCAGCCTCCTCATGCAGCACTCCTGCCGCTCCCATCCCTCCCTCACTTAGACCTCAGTGGCTTAGATTTTTAAAACATGTTTTGCTATAGAGGACGTTTATTGGGACAACTGGTGAAATTGGAATAAGATCTGTGATTAGATAAGAATATTGTATCAGGATTTTTTTTTTTTTTTATAATTGTCCTGTAGCTAGGTACAGGATTGTCCTTGGTTTTTGTTAAATACATTCTAAAGTGTATGGGAGTTAGCAGGCGTCACATGTGCAGTGTTCTCTGCTGGCTCAGGAAAGTGTGTGCCTGTCTGTGTCTAGGGGAGAAAGTTACAGCAAGTGTGGCAGGTGGCAGTGGGCTGGGGTCCAGGTGAGGGTGCACAGGAGTTCTTCGTACTCTTCTTGCAATTGTTTTGGATTTGAAATTATTTCACATTAAAGCTAGCTACTCCCCACCCCCGCAAAAGAAAAAGCTATCCAGTGTATTGTTGTAAACTGCATCGCGGAATTATGTTCTCTGAAAGGAAGAGCCGTCTGTCATCCCCCCTCTCCCTTGACTCTTTCCTGTACCCAGTGTTTTGTGTCCCTCATCCCAACATCAGAGTCCAGAGCCTGGTCCACACACACCTGAGTGCCAGGCACTGCTGCCCCCTTGTGTGCAGGGCGGGCGCTGCAGGGAGCGGCCAGCCCTTCTGGCCCGTGGGCTCGTCCTGTCCTCAGTGGTCTTCGCAGCTGCAGCTCTCCTGCCACGCCTCTGCCATGGCCCCAGCTGCCCTGGGTCCCAGCCTGGGCAGTCACGAGAAGCGCTTCTCTGGGACGGGCCAGAAGCTCTCGGGGTAGGCGCCCCTGGGCTGAGGGCGCCGGGGTGGCCTTTGTCCTGGGGACGCAGCTCCCAGCCTGCTCAGTGTCTCCATCCGGGGTCATGCGAGGTGGGAAGCGGTGGTGTCTGCTCGTTCTCACTGCTGGGTCAGCTCTGGGTTGGATAAAATGCAGGCCCCATGTTCTCTCCTCACCTGCGGTGTGGCAGGGCCACCCGGGCGCGGAGCAGCTCCACACTGCACGTACGGCTCACCAGCAGTGTCTCCTTGCAGCGCACGTACCGAATGCCAAAGGAAGTCCGTGTGGAGCCCCAGAAGTTTGCCGCAGAGCTCATCCACCGCCTGGAGGCTGTGCAGCGGACACGGGAGGCCGAGGAGAAGCTGGAGGAGCGGCTGAAGCGCGTCCGGATGGTGAGTGGGTCCCATGGCGGGGCACCACGCCGGGTCACTGAAGTGTGTGACCACACTCAGTAGAGTTTAGGGGGACTTCAGGCCCTGAGCTGCTCCCACCAGGGCCCCCTAGCACCTCCCGCCCCACTGGATCATGCTCCACCCCGACTTGGGGGCTTATGGGCAGCTCTCCCATGACACCTGCTCGCGGACCCAGGCCTGGCCTGCATCCTGCTCAGTGCCCTCCCTGCCACGTGGAGCTGAGATGCCCTCACATGGGCAGGAGGGGCAGGAGGCTCCCACTTGTCACTTCCGAGTGCAGAGTGGCTTTTAGGTCTGGACACAGGCTCTGTTTTGTCTTGTTTTCTGACCTGCAGCCTTGTTTGATGGAACTTTGGAGGCTAAGAAGTTTCGTAATATTTGTAATTTATTTGGTTTAATACCTTTCTGCCCATAACTGCCAGAGATACCTTGCTTTTGTTGCCCTGGGCGTGTCATTCTACAAGACTCGTTTCCACACATTCAGGGCCTCCGTGCAGAGGTGCTAGTGACAGGTGTGCCTCTCACACGCCCTCCCTGTGCCCAGTCCCCCTTGGACTCTGTGGGCCTCAGTGCTGTGTCCCACGGGCCTTTGCTTTTTCTCTTAGAGCAGAAATCTGTTCTCTTCTTGATATTTTGCCCAATACCTGAAACTCAAAAATGTGACGTTTCCTGAAGGAGTTGTTTCTCCACCCGATCTTCCTATTTAATATACAGGACCTGAGCCCTCGCTGGACCCCATCAGAACCCTTGGGAGGGCCCTGCTGTTTCAGTTCCACGTTCCCCGGGTGGGCCGTGTGTACAACAGTCTGGAGGCACTGCCATCAGGGTGGACATGGGGCCTGGCACGTGGTCACACCTGGAGTTCCCCTCTCCTGCCGCCTGCACCCGGCTCCAGAGCTCCCAGTGATGCCCAGCCCTGAAACAGGGGGCCTGGCTCCCCCATCTTCCCCTGTGGGGAGACAGCAGGCAGGTTTCCCGTAGCGTGTCAGAACCTGGGACCCCTCACAGCACCAGAAGGCAGCCCTGAGAGTGAGACGCTGGCGGGCAGGGCTGTGCTGCGAGGAGCCTTAGGGAGCCTGCTTGGCCCTCGCTCTCCTCTTCTGCCTGCATGGCAACGGCACGGCCCTCACAGCAGAGAAGGTGTGGCCTGAGGGCTTCCCCTGAGCTGACCAGCTGTCCTCGCGCAGCCCCCGAGGTCACCCGACAGGCACCCACCCTGCCGGCTCCCGTGACTTGGTCTCACTGCTTGGGAGGGAGTGGCCGGCAGGGCTGGGGTTGGGGGTTGCGCTGGCTGAGCTGCTCTCATTCAGGCCGTGAGGCCTGCGGAGGAGCTGAAGGGACAGTTAGGGGCATGGTTTCCACCTCCTGCAACCCCGCTCTGAAAAAACGAACACAGGGGGAAGGGGAAGGGGAAGCTGTGACAAAGTGAGAGAATGGCATGGACATATATACACTACCAAACGTAAAATAGGTAGCTAGTGGGAAGCAGCTGCATCGCACAGGGAGATCAGCTCAGTGTTTTGTGACCACCTAGAGGGGTGGGATAGGGAGGGTGGGAGGGAGGGATTTTTTAATCCTACAGATTTTTTAATAACTTATTTTCATTGTAAAACTTGGAAAATAAAAACAAAATAAAATGGGCTTCCCTGGTGGCGCAGTGGTTAGGAGTCCGCCTGCCGATGCAGGGGACACGGGTTCGTGCCCCGGTCCGGGGGGATCCCACGTGCCGCGGAGCGGCTGGGCCCGTGAGCCATGGCCACTGAGCCTGCGCGTCCGGAGCCTGTGCTCCGCAGCGGGAGAGGCCACAGCAGTGAGAGGCCCGCGTACCGCAAAAAAAAAAAAATGAATACTAGCAGCTGAGTGGTTATGTAAATGTATAATATCAATATTATAGAGCTCTAAAATTGAATTTCTGCACATGCAGAGCTATTAAGAAAAACTAGATGTCAGATCCGTAGGAATTTGGAGGTTCCCTCTTGCTCTCTGCTGCCCTAGGTGAATAGTGTCAACAGTGCAGTGCCCTGGGGAAGACTTGGCGAGGAGTCTCCCAGCCCCTCATCCCTGCAAAGCACAGGGGTCGGGATGGGGACACAGGATGGGGTGCAGGAGCCCAGCGGTCTGAGGCTCTGCCAGGGCAGCTCCCATCTGTGCCCACAGGGTGTGTGTTCCCCCTCCATCCATCCCTCTCTCCCTGTCTGTCCTCCTCAGTGCCATTTTCCATCCTGAGTTGCAGTGCCCACAGCTGACGGCATGTCCGAATGACATTTAGGTACTTTTGCAGTGGTGAGTCCTGTGGTGAACTCCCGGAGGTTTTTTGTGTTAAAGTGCAGCGTGGCTTAGTCACCCGTTTTCTCAGTTATGACCAGACATACTCAGCATTCTGGTTTGGACAAGTCAATAAGACAAGAAAATAAATGTGACCAGTATCTTTTGGAGTTAAAGTGATCGAATATTTATGTTTATGGATGTGGTTATGGTAATTCTCAGAGAGTCAAAGGAAATTCTGTTAGTTTAATGTCAGAATTTATTAAGACACCAATAGCAAGGTAAGCAAAAACCAAGAGCTCTTCTGTACAAGGGCAACATTCCCTTTGAAAATATGATGGAAAATATGGCAGTAAGATTGAGGAATAGGAAAACTCAACTGAAAAAAAAAACAAAATTTTTATTGATAAGCATAAAAGAAAGTGGAACCAGTGCCAGGATTCCCAGTGGTCTCCGCGGCACTGGCATTGTGCCCCTCCTCACCGCGTACCCGCCACACTCGGGTGGTGAGCCCAGCCTCCATCCGTCTGCACCGTCTTGCCGTGCAGACTGCCCAGAGCCCAGCTGCACGTGCTTGGGACTCAGCAGGGACAGGAGGGGCTCTGGGGGCCGCTCTGGGTCGGGCGGCCCCTCCAGCACCTCACCTCAGCCTCAGGGTCTCATCCCAGGCTCAGGGCTCCTGGCCTTTGCTTGCTTGTGATTTGTCTCCCCAAGCGTGGGGTTTCCGCAGTGCGGCCAGTGCCGAGAGGTAACATGTGGCCTTGTCCCCACAGGAGGAAGAAGGTGAGGATGGTGATGTGTCCTCTGGCCCCCCAGGGGCCAGTCATAAGCTGCCTTCAGCCCCGGCCTGGCACCACTTCCCACCCCGCTATGCGGATGTGAGCTGTGTGGGGCTGCGGGATGCACACGAGGAGAACCCGGAGAGCATCCTGGACGAGCATGTGCAGCGAGTCATGAGGACACCGGGCTGCCAGTCACCAGGGCCCGGCCACCGCTCCCCAGACAGTGCGCACATGCCCAAGATGGGAGTGCTAGGAGGCACAGTGCCCGGGCATGGAAAGCACGTGCCCAAGTCGGGGGCGAAGCTGGACACAGCTGGCCTGCACCTCCACAGACACGGCCACCACCACGGCCACCATGGCTCAGCTAGGCCCAAGGAGCCTGCCGAGGCCGAGGCCTCCCGCCGGGTCCAGAGCAGCTTCGCGTGGGGCCCAGAGCTGCACGGCCACGCGGCCAAGCCCCGAAGCCACGTGGAGAGCATGGGCGCCGCCCCCACCACCAGTGACAGCCTGGCCTACAGGTGAGTGTTTGCGGCGGTTCCCTCCTTCTGCATCTGTGTCAGTGAGGCTGTGTGTGTCTCCAGGAAAAAGGGGTCAAGGCGAGAGGCCGTATCTACCGTGGCCTCTGTTCAGCCTTCAAGCCAGGATTCCCCTTTAAAAGTCATTAAATCAGGGTCAGCCACAGAGACAGCAGGCACCTGGGTGCACTGGCCGCTGGAGCTCCAGCCTTGAAGCATGGTCAGGTCAGATGCACCTGTTTCGGAGGGCAGTGTCTGGGTGAGGAAGGGTGGCCAGGCCCTGGATGCCGCCACCTTGGCTCCAACCCTCCCGGCCCATGCTGCCCAGACACCTTCCTTCCTTTCCTTCCCACCATAGAGTCTGCCAAAACAACCCCACTCATGCCCGCAGAGCCAGTGCAGAAGCCCCACGTTCAGGGAGGGGCCCTTCCAGGCCACCCTCCCATAGCCATGAGGGTCTGGGCCAGCTGTCCAGCATTGGGCCAGCTGAAGTAGCAGGTGACCCGGGTCTTGCTCTTGCAGCGGGAAGGCAAGCATGACCTCCAAAAGAAACTCCAAGAAGGCTGAGTCGGGGAAGAGCACCAGCGTGGAGGCGCCAGGCCCCTCTGAGGATGCAGAGAAGAACCAGAAAATCATGCAGTGGATCATCGAGGGCGAGAAGGAGATCAGCAGGCACCGGAAGGCTGGCCACGGGTGAGAAGCCGTGTGGGGGCGTGGGCCCTGTGCGGTTGTGGGCGCAGGCATCCAGAGCCACCCTGCCAGCCTCTAGCGCCCCTCTGCCAGCATCCTGAGCAGCTGGTCTTAGTGCAAGCCACATGCCATGGAAGCAGGAATTCCTTGGAATTAGGTCCAGTCCATGGGAGCATGAGGTCAACGCCTCCCTGTGGGGACCCTGTGATGGGGTGGGGGTCGTCAATGAGCTTCAGTGTCCTGGGCAGGAGTACCCACTGGTGGGGTCAGTCTGAAGTTGCTGCAGCCCCCCCCACCCCACCGGGGAGGGGCCTCCTGCCATGTGGCTGCCCTCCTTTGAGAAGGAGCTAAGGCAGGGCCTGCACAAGGAACCTTATGGGCCTGACCTGCTTGTCCTCAGGCTGCCGGGGGCAGTTCTCATCTGGTCTGCATCCCTCTGAGCTCTGTGTCGGTCTCAGTGTCACCCCTGTCCCCTTCATGGTGGGGACAGGGCTGGGCGGGGGGCCTGGGGCTGGTGGGGTCGGCCCATGGGCGGACTTCCCTGGCCCTCGCTGTTCCTGGGCCTTCCTGGGAAGGGCCGAGTGGTGTGTGTGAGGTAGGTGAGGCAGGTCATTGGTAACACGGGGTCCCTTGTTCCCGTGGCAACATGTTCCAAGGTCCACGTAACCTTGGAACAAGCCCCCTGCCAGTGTGCAGACCCTTTGCAGTCACAGAGCCTGACCTGGTGGGGGGCCTCTCTGGGAGCCCCTCTCTTGCTCTGGTGGGGGTGGATTTTTGGCTTCTCTGGATTTCTCTCTTTTGCGATTTTCACAAGGACTGGCTGTGTCCTTGGCTGCTCCCCCAACCCCAAATGGAGGGTTGGAGGGCTTCTGTGGGTAAAGAGTGAGAGTCTAGAAACAGCCTCCTGGGTTTGGAAGGCTCCTGCCCTCTGGCTGGGCTGCAGGTTCTGTCAAATGCTGATGCTGCAGTGTCTCCACCAGGCACTTCTTGGGATCTGTGGGCCCAGGGGAGGTGAGGCCCGTAGAGGGGAGAATGGGGGGAAGGTGGGGCCAGGGAGTGAGGGGTAGGGGACGGGGTGAGGTCTCCCTGTGGCCGGCCTTGTGGGACTTTTTAGGAGGAGTCTACCTCCCCCTGGGGTACATTCCCTGGGCAGTTCTGGCATCACAAGGGCACTGGGTCAACCAACTCTCCCCAGGGCCCCCTTCTTGGGATTCCCTCCTTTTTGCCCCTGGGGCTAAGCCCCCCTTTCTGAGGCCTCCAGCCTAGCTGAGAGAGGCAGGTGTTTTCACTTGAATTCCATTCAGTGATTGAGTGATGGCAAGTCACACAAATGTAAAGCACATTCTCAGTGTCTGATGATGGGGAGCGTGATGTCATGTGGAGGGGGAAATCAGGAAAGATCACATGTTCAGAATTATGCTAATTACATCAAGTATTTTTGTTTTTTTTAACTTATTTATATTGGGCTGCGTTGGTTCTTCGTTGCTGCGCAGAGGCTTTCTCTAGTTGCAGCGAGCAGGGGCTACTCTTCGTTGCGGTGCGCAGGCTTCTCGTTGCCATAGGCTTCTCTTGTTGTGGAGCATGGGCTCTAGGACACGGGGGCTTCAGTAGTTGTGGCGCGTGGGCTTAGTTGTTCCACGGCATGTGGGATCTTCCTGGACCAGGGCTCGAACCCATGTACCCTGCATTGGCAGGCGGATTCCTAACCACTGTGCCACCAGGGAAGTCCCTGTGTCAAGTGTTTTTAATGGAGAAGGAAATACACTGAATATACCGAGAGTGGCTGTTGCTGAATTACATTTATTTTTTTCTTTGAATTTCCTGACTGTTTCAGGTTTTTCACAAAGAGCACTTATTTTAATATCAAAATACTTTTCAATAACACTGAAAACTTTTCTTTAAAAGAAGTTTTCATGGGGAAGCAGAAAAAAAAAAGTATTCACATAGGATGTGATTTATATTTCAATACACAAGTTTCCAGGAAGGACTGTACGTTCGCGGTGCAGGGGGCCGTGGGGGATGTGGGCGCTGCTCACCTTGTTCTCTGGCCCCACAGGTCGTCCGGGGCAAAAAAGCAGCAGGCCCACGAGAGCTCCCGGCCCTTGTCCATCGAGCGCCCCGGGGCCGTGCACCCCTGGGTCAGCGCCCAGCTCCGGACCTCCGTGCAGCCCTCGCATCTCTTCATCCAGGACCCCACGATGCCGCCCAACCCGGCCCCCAACCCTCTGACGCAGCTGGAGGAGGCCCGCCGGCGCCTGGAGGAGGAGGAGAAGAGGGCCAGCAAGGCGCCCTCGAGGCAGAGGTACGGGACCTCAGGAGAGCAGGGCTGCCTGCTGTGTGGCCGAGGGCTGGGAGGGCAGGTGGTCATCACACTGTCCCTCTGAGGAGGGAGGGGGAGCCCTTCCTGTGTCGCAACTGCCCTGCACATGCGCTCACTCGCCCTTACCTTGGGACTGCTGGAGGTCACAGTCAGATGACCATTGGCTGCTGTGCTGGCTGAGCCAGGAGGGGGTGGTCCTGGGGGCTCCCAGCTGCCTCCACGAAGGGGGCCCGAAACATGTGGTTCACAGCTACATGGAGGGGAGCCCCGATGTCATGTGCAGGCAGGACGTTGGTGCTGAGATGTGTGTGGGTGTAAACTCTTCTCCTGGAAAGACCCCAGCCCCACAGCCCTCATCACTGTGCCCTGCTTGGCCTTCAGGGCTAGGGTGGCCCCAGGGGGCCAGGAAGGCCTCCCCTTTATGGGGGGCAGGTCGTCCCTCCAGGCTGGGTCCTTGCAGCTCGGCCCTTGAGGTCACTTTTCCGGGCCTGCTGACCCATCAGGATTCCCAGGTGGATCAGGGTCTCTGAGGGGCCTGGAAATCTGGAGAGTGTGGTCATCAAACTGCAGCCACTGTTTTTCTTGGATGTTACTGGCTCCCATTGCCCTCGGTCAGCTGGGCATCTGGGGTCTGGCCTCACCGTGTTTGGGTCCGTGCTGCTCTGGGGAAGCTGGCGTCAGGGTGCAGACCCTGCCCAGCGTCCGTCTTGGGCATAGCTGGAAGCCCGCATGTATCCCCCGGGTCACTGAAGGTGACCATGTTTACGCCTAGCTGTCTCACACCCCGTGATCTCACTCGTCAGCATAGAGCCGGGGAGCAGGCTTGTGCAGGTGGCCTCGCCTGATGCTAGCCTGTAAGCTGGAGGCCAGCGGGGCAGCAGCGGGGCCACCATGGGGGCCAGGGCGTGTGGACACCCTCCCTGCCGTGAGGACCCCCTGCAGGGGCTTCCTGGCCCATCATCCTTGCTGCCCGCTGTCTGTTCTTCCTGTGAGTACTCACAGGCCCTGCCCAGCGGCACATCCTGTCTGGCTGGTGATGCTGAGCTGAGCACATGGGCGGCTCTGGCACCTCCACGGTGGTCAGTCTAGGGCACGTGGGCCTTTTGTAAATGGCTACAGACCAGAGAGCTGGGCCCTCCTCGTGGGGTGACCTCCACCCAGGCCGGTGAAGGTAGAAGTTGTGTCAGGGCCACAGAGCATCGCCCCCGGGGTGGAAGGCCACTGGGAGAGGAGCTGCCAGGCAGCGAGTCCCCTTCAGACGGAGCAGCGGCCGCGCTCCAGAGCCCAGGTCTGTGTCGAGTGCTGAGTAGGAAGAGCTGCACCCGAGGGAGGAGGCCAGGGCAGCTCCTCTTGGAAGGCGAAGGCTCCTCTGAGTGTGCATGAAGTGACAGGACCCCAGCATGTTCCCGGTGCCCGAGCCTCTGCCCAGATGAGGGTCTGGGAACCCTGGATGGATGGAAGCAGCATCGGCGTCTCGACTCATCCTGATGGAGCCCTGATCCTCCCGCCCTGCTCCACAACCCAAGGAGGGCTTTGGTGTCCTGTCCGCTGCACACAGTGGGAGCCTCATCTGTGGTGACAGAGCGTCTTGGGAGCCCCTGCTCCGTCTTCCCGCTGGTCTCCTGTGGTCACCGCCAACTGCTGCTGGAGGCCCTGCCCAGGCCCATGCGGCTCACTGACGCCGTTGTTCCCTAGGTATGTGCAGGAGGTCATCCAGCGGGGGCGCTCCTGTGTCAGGCCAGCGTGCACGCCCGTGCTGAGCGTGGTGCCAGCGGTGTCCGACCTGGAGCTCTCCGAGACAGAGTACGTGCGCTCCCCCCGGGTCTTCCCGGTACTGCCCAGCCATACTGCACCGCCGGCCAGGTGCTGCAGTGGCGCAGCTGTACCCACGATGGGAGCTCAGGCACTGCACCTGAAGAGCTGGGTCTGCAAGTGTATCTCTGTCAAAGGAACCGTCTGACCGTCCACGTGGTGACAAGTGACCAACGGGCCAGAGAGGAGGTCCACTCGCCTCCCGCACTCTGGCCTCACGTCCCCACCAGGCCTTGGGACTCGCTGGTCAGCGACCTGCCTGGCTTGATGGGTTCAGGGCTGCAGCCCTGACTCCCCTGGCACTGCTGACCGGAAGCGTCAGCCCCGGGCACTTGTGCACAGCAAGCGGGCTCTGTTCTCACGTGGACCACAGGCACCTGCGGGTCGTCTCCCTGGGCATGCGTGGGCCAGGCTGGGCACTGGGGAGCCAAGGGCCATATGTAGACAGTGCTGGCCACCCTGTCCCTGCACTTCTGCTCAAGACAGAGAAGGAAGGGGCCCCCACCTCAGCCTTGCTGGGCTGACCCCAGACAGTACTTCATCACACCCGGCTAAGTGTGCTGAGGGGCTCACGGCCTCCCCATAGGTCACTCCTCCAGTGGCCCCTGGAGAAGCAGGGACTCGGCATCCCTTCTGCAGAGAATGGACCCCACAGGAACCCCAGCTGGGCTCCCAGGACAGCCTGGGCTTGAGGTTGCAGGCCTGAGGGAAGGGAAGCGGGCACTGGGAGCCTGGCTCAGGCAGTGGATGGCCACACAGCTGAGGTGACAGCCTGCTCTGTGCCCAGGAGCACCGGGGTGGGGGGGTCCCCAGGGAGAGTAGAGCCTGCTGTAAGCTCAGGTGGCCTTCCTGACATGACACTGACACGCCCAGCTGGCCAGTGCAAGGGCTGTGCCAGGCTCCACCGGCGCAGCTCTGGAGTGGTCACAGGACAGGACGCTAGAGGAGACGGGTGCTGCCTCAGCCTGGGCAGGAGGCGCTGCTGGCCTCAGCGGTCTCTGGAAGTGTGGCTGGCTGCTGCTTATGGTCTCGTGACAAGCTCTCTGCCATGAGGCAGATCCGTGTCAGGATCCGTCACAGTTCTATTCGTCCAGTCCCTGGCCTTAGGTGTTTCTGAAGTTTGGGGCTGTAGGCCTTACTAGGACATGAGCAGTTTAGCCCAGCCTCGAGGCGGTGGCTGTGGCGGGTTCTGTGGCCTGGCTGTCTCATGCAGCCCAGCAGAGGCATCTGCTGTGGGTTCTGGCTCTGAGAAGCCTGCTCGCCCAACTTCACGTGGTCTGGGTAGTGGGTGCTGCCCGCCAGGCAGTTCAAGCCACAGTGAGACCAGGGCCTCGTGGGTGGTGGGCAGGCCGAGGCGCCGGTCGGACGGTTGGCGGGCAGGCGACGAGCCGCTGTCCGCCTGGGTCAGGGCCTGTGGCTGGCGCAGGACTGGAAACCTGGGCTGAGGCACCATGTGGGGTGAGCCCCCCGGGGCTGGACGTGGCTATGTGGGTGGGGTGGGCGTCGGGGCCTGTGGATGTGTGGCACTTCTGAGCGTGGCACAGCCCACCCTGTAGGCCCTGCTCTGTCGTTTACTGGGGTGCCTGGGGCCCAGCAGTCACCGCTGCTTCTCCACCTCCCAGGACAAAATCGCAGAGGAAGGCAGGCGGTGGGAGTGCCCAGTCGTGTGACAGCATCGTCGTGGCCTACTATTTCTGTGGGGAGCCCATCCCCTACCGGACCCTGGTGAGGGGCCGTGCGGTCACCCTGGGCCAGTTCAAGGAGCTGCTGACCAAGAAAGGCAACTACAGGTGAGAGGCATTGGTGGGGTCAGCTCAGGAGACAGTGCTGTGTGCTCGTGCCTCGTTGAGTCCTTGCCTCCACGTGTCTGGCCACGGGCTGTCGGCGTGAGCCCCACGACAGATGGGGCATGGGTGATCTCAGGTGACTGAGGGCTCCAGGCCGAGCAAGGGGTCTGGAGGGTCTGTTGATCCCCGTGCTGGTGTGACCTGAGTCGGCCTCGTCTCAGCCTCCTAACCATCCTCCACAGGTCTGCCCTGGGCTGCCCAGCCCTGCCGGCCTGAGACCAGCCCCTGCAGGCTCCTCATTGGGCTCTGTAGGTCGGGTGGGGCCCATGGGGTCTCGGCTGGAGTCAGCCCACTGTGGGCCTGCCTGGGTGGTTTGCTGTGGCCACTGGAGGGGCCTTGGGCCGAGTGCAGGTGCTTTAGCCCAGTGGAGAGGACAGAAACCCCACGCCCACCCACTCCTCCCCCACAGCACCTAGAGGCCGGGGCAGGGACCCTGCATGTGGTCACTGCACGTGTCAAGCACCGGCACTCAGGCACCGGGCAGAACCGGCTCGCGTGCCCTGCAGGAGGTGTCAGGGGCGGCCGCCAAACTGCCGGACGCTGCCGCCCTCACCGCCCCTCCCACCCGCAGATACTACTTCAAGAAGGTGAGCGACGAGTTCGAATGCGGTGTGGTGTTCGAGGAGGTGCGTGAGGATGGGGCCGTGCTGCCTGTCTTCGAGGAGAAGGTCATCGGCAAGGTGGAGAAGGTGGACTGACGGGCGGGCCTGGCCTCCGCGCTGCGCACCACGAGGGCCTGTGCCGGGTTGCAAGAGTGTGGCAGACACACGGCTGCTGGCGGAAGGCCAGGTGCTGCCCGCCTCACAGCTGCCGCCCCTTTGGTCCATCTGTGTCCAGGAGGGCGGGGGGTCCCTCTGGGGTCCCACAGGCTTCCACCCACTCCTCTGCAGGACACTCAAGAGCCCACCCAGCAGGGAGCCCACCATGGGGCTGCCTTGAGACCCTCCCCCGCGGCCCCCTGCTGCTAACCGCGGACGCCCCCGGCGCTCACCCCACAGGCTCTGCTTCTCCTTCTGGGACTCGCCCGCCATGGCCTGCCCTGGTCAGGCCTGTCCCAGAGCCGGGGTGCAGGGGGCCCCGTGGGGCCTCTGTCCATTGTACATGTCACCGAGTGCCTTCAACACAGCTTGTCTCTTGCCTCACTGTGTGGACCCGGCGACGGAGCACCGAGGCCCAAGCGTGGGCTCAGCGGGTCCCGGGCCCCTTCCTCCTAAGGGCCCATGTAAATATGTACATTTCTCAGGCCTGGGCCAGCGGGGAGGGGCTGCCCCAAGCCCGTTTTTCATGCGCTGACTTGTACAATTATCTTTTCAAAGGTACTTGGATAATAATGAAATAAAACCATTTTTGAATCTTCCCTGGCTGTGGACTGCACCTGTCCAATGTGGCTGGTGGGAATGCCCCTCGGCTGGCTCCTGGGATATGTGCCCTGTCTCCCAGCCACCAAAGGAAGTCAGGCCAGCCTCTGTGGCGGGGAGGGGGTGCCGTTTAGCAACGCTAGCAGAGCTTGGGAGAGAGAGTGGGCCTGAAGCCGGCAGCAATGCCATGCTCCCCCTTTCTGCCCCAGTGGAGCCTCAGACCTGAGCCAGGGACCCATCTTCCATCCAAGATGTGAAGGACCCAGGAGGCTGAGATTGGGCCCAAACCAAGGGCCAGGGGGCCTGCCTTGCTCAGGAACCACACACACAGTCCAGGACCAGAGCTCTTTATTCACAGCCCACAGCTTCCATGGGCACCAAGGGACACGGCTCCCCAGGTGGGCGCTGACAGCGGTGCAACTACAGCTCGTCTTTGGGCTCCGTGGTGTTTTCTGGCATCTCCTGGAAAGGGTCATAGAGACCCAGCTGGAAGCTGCACCCTCAGCCCAGCCCAGCCCATGTCACAGTCACGCATCCAGAGGACTCCTCCAGAGACCTGGAGCCTTGGGACAGAGACACCCACCGGGAAGGGGGCTCCGGGCACCTCCGTGGGCTCCTCTGCAGGCAGCTCACCCCCGCTGTCCAGAAACTTGGAGAAGGTCTCCAGGTCCCTGGTGCCTTTGTATTCAATCACCTGAGGAAGGACGGGCGGGTCTGGGGGACACACCGTCCAGGGTCTAAGGCCAGCCCTCCGAGGCCACGCCGCATCTCCAGCCGAGGTCTGAAGAGCCTAGACTGAGCCCAGACCAAGGATGGGGTCCTGCCTCACCTTCCGACCGGGCCCCGCCGGGAAGTACTTGAGGGTGGGGAAGCTGTGCACAGGGAGGGCCTCCAGCTCATTGGCCGTGGCATCCAGCTCGGCGATGACGATGTCCTCGTGGTCCCTGTACTTCTCAGCCAGTGCCTCCCAGGCCGGGGCCATCTCTTTGCAGTGGGTGCACCATGGGGCATCTAGGACAGGGGGGCATCAGCACAGCCAGCAGGGTCGCTGCTGCCCACTAGCCCACTGCCCTCTGCACTCACAGAACTTGATAAACACGTTCTTGGTTTCATCAAAAGCCACCTGCTCGAAATTCTTGCCCACGAGGGTCTTGACTGGCCGCTGGTCCCAGTCGGGGGGGACCTCCTGGCTCAAGCGATAAGGCTGGGAGAACCGGCCAGGTGCTTTATTGGGGGGTCTCTCCCAAGAGCCACTGCTCCCACTCCCACCCCCCAACTGGGCAGTCCAGCAGCAGACCTTGACCTCCCCACCCAGGACTGCGTGGCAGAAGGCTGCAACCGAGGTGGCGGTGACTGGCCCCCTGTCCGCAGGCATGTACTTCTTGGTGGTCTCAATGTTGATGAAGCGTAGGGTGGGGGCCTCCTCGGCCTTGAGGCCGAAGTACTGGAGCACATGGTCGTTGCTGGCACCCACATCCACCACCACAAACAGCACCTGCCAGCAGGGAGTCCACGTGGGCGCCCCGCCTCCCCACTGCCACCTCACCCCTTACCCGTGGGCTGAGCCAGTACCTGCCCGCGGAAGCTGGGAGCTGCCTCCCGGAAGCCCGCTAGCAGTTCCCGGTGGGGGGCCAGCGTCTGGTTGACGAACAGCAGCAAGTGGTTAAGGATCCCGGCTGCAAAGATCTTACGGGACGTCTGCGGGGGCAAGTGGCGCTCATGGGCTGCTCCCGCGCTCGCCTCCCATCCTCCGCTCCCACCTGCATCTGCCCTCCAGCCCCACTCACCTGGCTGTTGAACTCCGTGACCAGGTGCATGCTGTGTGTGAGGAGGAAGCGTGACAGATCCCCTTGGTCCAGGCCCAGCTCCTCATCCACTGGGAAGTCTGCCCGCCCCTCGTCATACTGGACAGTGCCGGGTGGGTCAGCAGGAGCCATCGCCCTGACTCCGACCCCCACTTCCGCCCTGACTCTGGGCCTGACCCACCTTTTTGAAGAGGACCACGGTGTCCTTGGTGAGGCCGAACTTCTGAAAGAGCTGAGGCTGGTTGGTGAGGCCAAAGCTCATGTCCAGGGCATCCTGGGCCAGGGCCAGGAAGGTAGCCACATCCTTCTCCTGCAGGTCCTAAGGGGCCCGAGCCTATGAGGCTGACTGGCCTCACAGACCCTGCTCCCAGGCCCGGCCCTCATGCCACCAGCTCACCTGGAAGAAGCCAATGACCACCACATCCCGGGCATCTATCAGCGCTTGAGCGCCCTCCTCATCCTCCAGCCTCGTGGCACTGGGCCCCACCCGCCGCCTCAGCCACTCAGCGATGCCCTCGGCCTCCCAGGGGCCTGCAGAGATTCCCGTCAGCCTGGGCCAGCCCTGCCACCCGCCCACCCACCCATGCCCACTCCCCGCACCAGTGTACTCCTCCGGGTGCGTGTGGTTCCCGTCAAGGAAGAACTTGAGCGTGGGGTACTTTGTCACCGCAAACTCCTCGGCCAACTCTGGCTCCGCAGGCCCGTCCACCTTGGCCAGCCTGACTTTGGCCGACTCTGCTGCCAGCAGGGCAGCCGCCTTGCTGTACTCAGGGGCCAGTGCCTTGCAGTGCCCACACCACGGGGCGTCTGGGGGACAGGGCCATGAGTGCCCCAGGCCTCCATGGCCCCAGCCGCAGCCCCTGCTCCCGCCCGGCCAGAGCTGGCCGACCTTGGGGCCAGTCAGGCCCAGCAGGGAGCAAGCATGTCCTGTCCACACCTCCCTCATCAGGGGCCCACCTGAGCCTTGGCCATATGGAGCCCAAGCACCGCAGACCAGCCTCCTCAAGGCCCCCAGCTTGGGGAGGCAGTGGCCAGTACTGTCCTGACTGAATTTAGGAGGAATTTTCCGTTGCCGCCCCCTGAGGCCGGCGCTGGGCCATCTGCCTGTTGAGGCCTGCCGGCTAAGAATGGCTCTCACGTGTGAAAAGCTTGTAAAAACCCGGAAGAATGTGCAAGCCTGAATGCTGGCTGGCCCTTTACGGAAGAGTTTGTAGAAGGACAATGACCATGGGTCTCCCCTGCACCTGTGCCCTTCACCACTGTGAGGCTGGACCCCCAGGCCCAGCTCAGCCCCAGGGCTGTGCCTCGGGTATCTTCTGACAGAGCTCCAGGAGCACGGTGGGGGCGAGTGGCCTTGGCATGGGGGGGTAGAACCCCCCAGGTGGCCCCTGCGGGTCTCCCAGCCCCACCGGCCCCAAGCACTCACAGAACTCCACCAGCAGGGCAGGGTGCTCCCGCAAGGCCAGGCCAAGGGTCTGCCGGCTCAGCACCAAGATCCCATCCTCCTCCGGGGGCTCCTCCTCTGGGGGCTCCTCCAAGGGACCCTCGGGCCCTGGCCCCTGTGCCCACAGGCCTGAGGCCCCAAGCAGCAGCAGCAGCACTGGCAGGAGCTGGCCGTCCATGGCAGTGCCGGGGCCCACGGGGCAGGGGCAGATAAGGGGGTGGGGGGCCAAGCAGCTGCCGCCACGTGGCACACAAGCCTGGTTGCAGGGAAGATAAGGCTGGGAGGCCCCCCCCCACCCCGGGGGCGGGGAGGCAGACAGGCGACACCGAGGGCACCAAGACAGAGCAACGTTTAATAGGACTGTTCAGGGCACAGTGCCAGGCCTGGGGAGGGGACATCCCGGGACAGGACAGAGGGCAGGGGGGTCTGGCCACTGAGGGGGCCGGGGAATGGTCAGGGGTCCCTTGCAGCGACTGACAGAGGTGGGGGAGACCAGGACCGCAAGTGGGAACACAGCCCTGGGGCAGGGGGCGCTCAGCTCTCCCAGTCCTGGCAGATGTGGAGGCCCCACTCCCAGGACAGGTGGGGGGTCCTGTCGTCATCGGTGAAGAAGGACGTGACCACGTAGGCACCCCGCACCAGCACGCCCCGGGGCGCCTCCTCCAACGGAGTCACAAACTCGTACTCCTGGGCGCTCGGGCCATAGCTGCCCACCATGTAGACGGCTTTGTCCACTGGGGGAGGGCGAGGGTGTCAGGGGCTGCCCTCTGCCCCACTGGCCCCCACCCCGAGCCTTCCCCCTGGGCTGCCCCCTCCACGCAGCCCTCACCTCGCAGGCCCTGGCGGTAGGTGTGATGCAGACACTTGAGGCCACTGACGATCTCCTTATTGACCTGAAGGACAGACGGTGTTAGGGGGAACCTGGGGGGGCTGGGCCTGTGGCTGGCTGGTGTCCCTCGTGACAGCTCCCTCACCTTGAAGGTAATCTTCACTTTGTAATCAACACCCTCCTTCAGGACAAACACCCGGTTTTTCAGCGCAGCCAACTCCCCTGTTAGGGAAAGTGCAGCTAAGTGTGAACTCCTGTGATGGCTGAGACCCTACCCCAGGAGCCCCCATGGGGGGCCTGTACCTGTGAGGTCTAGGTCTGAGTACTTGGGATTGGGCATGGGGGGGTCCTAAGAGGTACATGGCAACGAGCCCAGGTCTCTACCCCAAAGATCAGTTTGTATTTTGCGGAGGGGGTTACCTGTGAGGTCCCTGCCTGGGGCTCAGGGTTGCACCAGGCATCCTGGGAGTTACCTGTGAGGTCCATGGTGATGGGCCCTGGGGCCTGCTCAGACATCAGTGTCAGGCTGGTCACCTGCACGTTGGGCAGGCTTGGGTCTGAAGAGAAACCAGAAGTATACAGGTGCCCTAACCCTAACCCACCCTCCCCACCCCAGCCCAGGGCATGGGCATACCCACGGCAGGCGGCTCAGGCCCCAGCAACGCCTGCTTGTAATTAACCAGGCTCTCGTCGTCCGGGTCCAGCTGCTGGATCTCCAGGAGGCTTTTCCTCCCCGGGGCCCGGTACTCCGGCACGGCCTCATCCAGCACCTCATCTGGCGGCAGCTGCCCCTTCTCCTTGTCCGTCAGAAGGACTGGGGGTCGGGGAGGGTGTGTGAGCAGCTGCTGCCAGCTGACCTGGCATTTGCTGGAGCCTGCCGTCTGGCCAGCTGGACCTCCCACTGCCCAAAGGAAGGAACTTAACAGGAGTCCGGTGAGAGCTCTGGGAGAGGGGTGGGCCGAGAAGATGCAGAGCAGCGCCCAAACCCAGCCTCTTGGGGAAGGGCCTGGGGAGTGGAGAAGGCTCCCAAGAGATGGAGGCAGGTGATCCCTGGAGGCTCCAGCTGCATCCTCCTGCCCCACCCATTCATCCCAGGCCCCTCCCTGACTGTAGGGGGAAGGAAGACCCCAAATGGGGGACAGCCCCAAGGGATAGGGTCCACCACTACCGAGTGGTGACCGCTGAGGTCTTCTCTAGAGCAGAGGCTCTGCCTTTTCGCTGCTCTCTAGGGTCCCCAGGCCCTAGGCCTCTTCCCATATTCCCATAAGGCTCTCGGACACCTCTCAGGGTCCCCACCACCCTGCTCAGGGACTGCGTTCCCTGAATGCCTCCGCACAGTCTTGGAAGTTCCTCCCCATAATGCTCCTGAAGGGTAGGGGTGGTTCTCTCTAAACCCCTCAACTTATGCTCCGAGGCCACCTCCCCAGGTGCCTCCAGACCCAGTCAGCTAAGCCCCTTCCCCTGGCGCCTTAACGCAGGGGTCTTTCTGAGCCCTTCCCACAGTCCTAGGAGAAGCTCCCATGGTGCCTTGGGGCAGGGTCTTTCCGAGTCCCTGCCCACTGCGCTCCAGTCTTTCCCGGGATCCACACCCTCCCTGAAGGAGCCCCAGCCCCACCCAAGGGAGATGGGACCTCAGGGGCAGGTTCCCACGGGGAGAGGGCACCCCTGCTACCCTGGTTTCACAAACAGACCCGCCCACTCTTGACCCCTTGCCCCATGAGTGTCTGGCCTGGACGAAGCCCCCCACCCCCGCCAGAGCCCTGCCGGGGGACCCCGCCGCGAGGTCCCCACGAGCGCCCCCAAAGTTTCCGCGGGGGAGAAGCCGCCGCGCCCCGGGCTGAGCCCCCCGCCCACGTGGCCGCCCTGGCCACGGCCCGCTCACCTCGGGCGCACAGCGCCAGCCGGAGCAGCTCCAGCAGCTGCGCCCCCAGCTCACACGCGTCCAGGCCCAGCATGGTGGCCCGCGGCCCGGCCCCGCCGCCGAGCCGCCGAGGAGCCGCCGCCCGCCCCGCCGCCGCCCGGCTCGGCGCTCAGCCCCGGCGCGACTGCGGTGAGCTCATCCCGGCCGGGAGCGCCCCCCGCGCCCAGCGCCGCGCCCGCGCCGCGCGCCCCCAGCCGCTCCGCGGACCCCGCGCAGCCCCGCAGAGACGCGCGTGTCGCCCGCTTGGCGCCGGCACCCGGTCGTCCCCGCCGCGGGCGCACTCGGACCCCGCACAGCCGCCGCAGTCACGGTCCCAGCATCCCGCCCCGCCTGCACCCGGCTCTGGCCATCAGGGCTGCCCCACCCCATGGCGCCGCCCGGAGTCTGGGGAGTCTCTGGGGAAGCCCTCTGGGCGGGGCTGGTGGGGCTGGGGGCGCGAGTGGAGCAGGTGCGTCGCCCCCCCCACAAGTCCCCAGGCTCTCGTTACCTGCAGGCAGCGCAGGCCGCACCTGGGGCCCGACAGTCCCTCCCCCTCCCCCTCCTCCCACCCCCGCTGGAGCTTATTTATGTCTGGGCAGAGGGGACTCCTGGAGTCTGCCCAGCCTTGGGGGGTGGGGGATGCTGTGTGTGTATGCAGAGCCTCCTGGCCCCGCACCCCAGAGGTTCACAGGCATCAGCACGGAGGGGCCCGTGTCCACACACACAGTGAGGTGCAGTCTGGAGACACAGCCATTATTCCAGTGTTTATTGACTGGGCTGTGTGAGCATGGCGGGGGGTGGAGGTGTCTTTGCATGCTCTATGCTCAGAGGCCCCCGTCCTTGGGGAGAAAAGGACACTGATGTGAAACAGAACGGGGTGGTGGAGTGCTGAGAGGGGCGCACAGAAGGGGCCTCTGGTCTTGATGCCTAAACAGACCTTGTGATAGGTGGATGGGGGTCAGCGGGGCAGGGGCAGGGGTGAGCTGGACCTGAGGCTGGGGACAGCTGGGTCAAAGTGGAGGGGGAGGCAGAACACCAGCTAGAGTCCCCCTGCTTCCTTACACCCCTCCGCCCCCCATTTCTGAGGACACCCAAGGATCAGATCTGCCCTGGCCCAAAGGCGCCCCCTATCTGAGAAGGAGGCCAGCAGGCCGTGGGTGCGGGAGGCACGTGTGCTAGGGTGGGGACTGTCCCCCTTGGAGCCGCACCTGCCCACAGTCTTTCCAAGGCAGGATCTCCCCAGCTGGAGCCCAGCCCTTCTAGGGTCACATCCTGCTGCCCCTTCCCTGGGGTGGTCAGGGAAGCCACTTGTCCCCAGGCTGGGGATAGCTCTGGCCTCTGGGGGCCTTCAGCCTCTCTAGAAGCCCATCCATGAAGAGAGGACAGCCAGGCCTGGTGCCAGCCTGACCCCACCTGTGTGGGTGGGGCTGGGTGAGAGAATTTCACTGGCATGTAAGGGAGAATGGCACCTGGGAAGGGTAGAACACCCCTCCAGTACCCCTGCCCCAGCTCAGCCTGGACATGGCTTTGCCTGCAGTGGAAATGGGTTCAGATGGCCATGTCGGAGGCTCTGGCCAAAGGCTAACCCCGACATCCTGCCCTGCCCCAAGCACCTAAAAATCAGAAATAGACCTGTTTGCACCACTTTAAAATGGCCCCAACAAAAGGGGTGTGGGTGGCCAAGCTGTTGGAGGAGGGAGAGAAACGGCCAGGCTGGGCCCTGAGCCTAGAGGCTGCCCACGAATCTTGGGGGGCAGGTGTTGAGATCTTCTCTCCCAGTAAAGCCCCCTCCCACAGTCTCCCACAGTTTCGGGGTAACCCGGGTGGGGTCTCTGTCTGTTCCCCAACTGGTGCCCCAGGCATCATCGGTGCAGCAGAGGGGAAGTGAGCTGCCTGCCATATTTCCCCAGGCCTCAAGGGCCCCCGCCCAGCACACCTATGCAGCCACGCAGTGTCATACCAGCCCGGTAGCACCTGCATGCGGCAGGGACAGTGTCACAGTTGCAGGGACACACTCCTAGGGCAGTTCGACCCCTCACCCAGACCTTACAGCCCCTGAACCACTGGTCGCCCACATCCTGGGGCGCCACACAGGAGGTGGGTATGGGGGAGGGGTTACAGTGACCCTAAACGGTTATCCTCCACCCCAGCCCTCCTTCCCCACAAGTCCCCTCTCCCCTTTTCTGAGTCCCCATCCTTTCCCTGAGTTCCCACCCCACCTCTGAGCCTCCCCCACCGCCGTCCCAGCAGAGGCTGATTCCCCCCACGCTGTCCGGGTGGGTCCAAGCCCCCTCTCGAAGCTCCAGGCAAGCTCCCGCGGGCACGGGCCTCGGTTTCTCGTGACGTGAGGGGATCCTGCTCGAGGTGGATGATCGGACGCGCGTCCCCAGACCCCAGACCCCGCGCTGCGGAGGGTTAACTCGCGGGCGGGGCGGCGGCCCGGGAGAGGAGGCGAGGGGAGGGGAGGGGCGGGGCGGGGCGGCCGGACACCCTCGCCCCGCTGGGCCTGCCTCAGCCATGGCCGCCGGCCCCGCGTCCCACGGCGGGCTCCCCCGCGCGCAGAGGCCGCATCTGAGCAAGGTGGGTGCCGGGATCCCGCCCGCCCCCCCCACCCGATTTCCCGACACGCGAGGCCGGGAGGGGCAGGAGAGGAGTGAGTGCGGGTGCACGCGAGTGTGGACACTACGCGAGCGCGCGAGTGTGGACGCGGGTCTGAGGCGATGGCACTGTGTGAGCGGGGTGGGGCGGCGGAGACCCCGGGGTTGGGGTCGCCGCTCGCTCGCGCCCCCCCTCGCCTCCGCGGTCAGCTACGGCCTGAAATCCCACCATCAGTGAGCGTTAATCTCCTTCAAGCACACTGATCCGGCGCATCCCGGGCTGTTCCGGGGCATCTGGATATGGGGGTGGGGGAGGAGGCCACCGCAGGCCCTCAACCTCCTTTGCCCAGATGGAGCGGATGGTCGTGAGTATGCAGGACCCCGACCAGGGCGTGAAGATGAGGAGCCAGCGCCTGCTCATCACCGTCATTCCTCACGCAGTGACTGGTGAGGTGTTGCAGGGGCGGGGCGGGGTGTGCCGGCCCTGCCTCGGCCTCCCCCTACCCCAGTCTCTGCTATGCAGGCAACGACGTCATGGAGTGGTTGATCCACAAGTACTGCATCACAGAGGAGGGTAAGGGGTCAGCCCGCTGCTCTTCCTGCGCCCCATACCCGGCCCTGGGGTCGCTGTGCTGATGGCCTAGGGCTGGGGCCAAGCCCACTGTGCTGGGGGACCCGGCTCGGCTCCCCCCACTAAGAATTCACCACCTTGCTCCCCAGAGGCCCTGCACCTGGGCACCCTCCTAGTGCGGCATGGCTACCTATACCCACTGCGAGACCCCTGCCACCTCGAGCTCCGGCTGGATGAAACGCCCTATAGGTTTCAGGTCAGGCTCAACTGGGAGCAGGTAGGACCCATCCCACCAGGCAGCGCCTTGGCAGACACTCCTGGAAGGGGTGGGGCTGGGGCAGGAGCAGGACCTGTGATGTCACCGCAGATCTTGTGGTCCACTGCCCCCTCCCCAAAAGGCCTGGACTGGAAGCGTCCCTGTGACAGAAAGACCAAGTTAAGGGGAGGGACCTTTAGCAGGGCCCCATAAGGGGTAGTACCTGCAGAGGACTCCACCAGCTTACCCGGGGTCCTTAGGCCCCAGCCCTGAAGAAGGGGCCTAAGGACAGGATCCCTGCACCTCAGTGTGCGTCCTCAATCATGATGGAGCCCCCCCTCCTGCCCTCCCTGGCCACACCAGGGACCCTGGCAGGGCCTGCCCTCAGTCCCCACCCCCCCAGCACTACAACTACCTCCTGGGCCTGGGCAGGGAGCCCAGAGTCAGTGAACCAAGCGCAGCTCGGTCCAGGTGGACGGAATGGTGGATGGTCAGCTGAGCCTTGGGACAGTGGGAAGATACCCCCCAGCCAGCCCAGTCTCCTCCCAAGGGAGCTGAGAGGGTGGGGATGACTCTTGGGGCGGGGAAGGCCCAGAAGGTCACAGATACCTTTGTCCTTGCACCACACCAGACGCCCTATTTCTGGATGAGCACCCTGTGGCCAGCCGCTGAGCTGGACTATGGTGAGTGAGGAGGGGTGGGATAGCCAGGGACAAACTCCCAGGACTGGTGGCTGCAGGTGGGATGCCACAGGGGAGGGGGAGCTGACATTGCTCCTCTGCAACCTGTGCCCTGTCCTTCCAGCCATCTACCTGGCCAAGAAGAACATCCGAAAGCGGGGGGGCCTGTTTGACCACGAAAAGGTGGGACACCCTCCCCACCCCTCCCAGGCTGAATCCAGCCAGAGGAACCCAGGCCCTACTTGTGGCCCTAGAGCACACAGCCCAGACCCCAGGGTGATGTGCATACACAAGCACAAACACCCTAGGTGGTCTCAGAGGGGAGGTGGGGAGTCCACACCCCAGAGCTGGGCACCGGAGGGAGTTTCCCGCTGGAGACCTCAACACTCCGCAGGAGCACTATGACCAGCTGCACAGGAAGATCAGCCACACGTGGGACCTGGTAGTGATGCAGGCGAGAGAGCAGCTGTGGTGAGACCACACCCTGCATGCCCCACACGCCCCCGGCCCAGGCACTGGCAGCCCTGGGACCAGAAACAGCGCACCCAGGCTTGGCTGCCTGCCCAGGCCTCGGCCTGAAGTGGGGGGTGAGGTGGTGGGTACAGCGTCCCCCCAGCTCTGCCTACCCCCCCCCCAGGGCAGCTAAGCAGCGCAGGAAGGGGGACAGGCTGGTCATCGCATGCCAGGAGCAGACGTACTGGCTGGTGAACAGGCCCCCGGTGAGCCCCCTGTGGGGGGTGGTCCTTGGACAGCAGCGGAGTCCTGCTAGCGGTCAGTGTGCCTCCTCAGGTGCTCGCTGAGGAGGACCTGCTTTCTGACCCCTGGGAAGGACATGCTTTTAGGGATCCTGTCAGGTGACAGGAAGTTCTTTTTCTGTGGTTCATGAGAACTCAGAGGTCACAAGGCCAGGCCTGAGCTGCCCCCACCCACAGACTAGGACACAGCAGCTTCTCTCTGGGTCTAAGGAAGCAGAATGTGGGCACCTGAAGGCCCTGGGTGGGGGGGGGGGGGGGGGGGTGGGGGGGAGTGAGGGCACCTGAAGGCCCTTGGGGTGGGGGCAGGTGAGTGGGGGCACCTGAAGGCCCTGGGGGGGGGGGGGTGGGGGTGTGTGGTGGTGAGTGAGGGCACCTGAAGGCCCTTGGGGTGGGGGCAGGTGAGTGGGGGCACCTGAAGGCCCTTGGGGTTGGGGGAGGTGAGTGGGGGCAGGCTTAGCTGCAGCATGAGGGACTGAGGTCATAGGCCAAGAGCTTCTGGGGTGCTGGCCTGGGGTCAGGCCTTACCCAGATCCGTGGGCCTGGCAGGTGGGTTGAGGTCCCCCTACTGTGTGGGGCAGTGGAGAGACCAGTAGACACAGATGTATGCTGTGAGGGGCAGTCACAGCGGACCATGAATAGAAGCTCCGGGGGAAAATACTCCATGAAAAAAAAGAGAGAGGAACCCAGGGGCCTGATTACCTCATCAGGTGTGGGTAGTGCCTCTGGGAAAATGACCCTTAATCTTCCACCTGAGGTTTCACGGGGTCTCAGGCGTTGAGGGTGGAGTGGGTGTGGCCAAGGCTGAGCAGTGGGCTGAGGGCCGGCGGTGGTCCTGTGGAGGGACCAGTAATGGCGCCCGTGGCCTCCGGGGAGGCATGTGTGTCTGGGGACGGGGTGGTCAGGACGAGGTGCGGCCAGAGGGGCTGTCTCAGGTAGGGCTGGGGTTCTGGCCTGAGCAGCCAGGAGCTCGGAGGTGAGTTTGGCTGAGGCGAGGAAGAACGGGGGGCTTGGGGGCAGGTCACAGACTTCGCTTCAGGAGCCAGGAGCTGGGTGAGGGGCTGGAGAGGGGACCAGGGTGGGCTAGACAGGGAGGGTGCCCTGGGCTGGGGATGGGCAGAGAGCATACAGGTCCCGAGTTCCCCTGAGCATGTTTCCACATTAGGGCCTGACATGGGCGCAGAGCTTCAGCGTATGGGGTTAGGAGGGTCTCAGCAGCCTGCCTGAGCTGTGCCCCCGCTTCATCTCATCCCCCCTCTGCAGCCCGGGGTCCCCAGCGTGCTGGAGCAAGGTCCAGAGCGGAATTCCTGCACTGCGGGGCGAGTGCAGATGGTGAGGACCCTGCATGCACACACCCCCAGCCCACTCCCCACCCCTGCACAGTGCCCTCCGCTCCATGTGCCCCCACCTCCCTTAACCCCTCCACCTCCCCCCCTGCCACTTTACCCCACCACTCCACCCACTCCACCACTAGGGGACTGCTTGGGGGGTGCCCACCCACCTGTCCACTTGTCCATCCAAATGTCCCATGATTCAGTCACTCCAAGTCTCCTGCTTTGCTCCCCAGCTCACTGCCCCGACTCCCAGCCCCCTGCTAACTCTCGCTCTCTCTCACCTCCCACCTGCTGCCCTGGGTGCAAGTAAGTACAGTAGACCCTATGGGGGGAGGGGGTCTTTTCCCCCAGGCTAGGGCAGCATCAGGGTCTGTGGGGACTTGGAGGGGTGGCGAGCAGGGCCACGGGCCCGAGCAACCAGGGCCGAATGAACCATGCGCCTCCAAAGCCTCCAAACTGGATGGAATTGGACCAGGACACGTGTCCGAACTTTGTAGCAGCAGAGTCCTCGGTCAGATCCCACGACACCCAAAACATAGAGCGGAGTCATCTAGTACTTTTCTGAGAAAACATCTTCCTGACTTCAAAATCATAGTTCACGGTCACAGGTTTGTGATTTCCAGCAAAGTCACGCAGATAGCTGAGAGGAGAGGTTGGCACCACGAGCATCCTGAGGGTGCTGTCTGCCCTCCCTTCCCTTCAGTACATTTGAAAACATGAAATAGTGACAGTTGGGGAAACTCAAGGCAACTTTGAGCACCTGAGGGCTTGGTGAACACCCCGAAACGTCCAGACTTGAGGCCCCAGGAGGCGTCCTGGAAAGTCAGACCCCTGCGTTAGAGGCCAGGGCTCCGGAGGGCAGGGCAGGGGTGGGATGTCAGTCCCTATAGGGACCTGCCTTCTAACTGCAGCCCACCGGCCCCTTCCAGACCAAGACCGTGGATTTCTACAGGCGGGAGGTAGGTCCTGGGGGCAGAAGGGAGGGGAGGGGTGGGCTGGTGGCTCCCAGCCCCGGCGCCCCTCACAGGTCTCCCATCTTAGGTCGAGTGCTTACGAAAGGCACTGGGCAGGGCCCGGGTGAAGTCTTCCGTCTGCCTCGAGGCGTGAGTGGGATGGGGGTGGTGGCTGGAGACCCCCAGCCCAGAGCCCAAACCCTTCCTCCAGTGCCCTCGTCCCCACAGCACTCCCTGCACTGGCCCTGGCACCACCCTCCACCCCCAGGTACCTGAAATTTAGCAGCCAGCGTGGGCCGCACGACCCCATCATGTCGGGGTGCCTGCCCAGCAACCCCTGGGTCACAGACAACGATACCTACTGGGCCATGAATGCACCCAGGTGAGCCTGGGGTGGGCCAGGAGCTGCAGGTGTGCCCCTGCCTTCCTCGTGCTCCTGACCCACCCGCCCCTCCCCCAGCGCGGCCGTGCCCACAAGGCTCCGTGTGGAGCAGTGGGCCTTCAGCTTCCGGGAACTCTTGGAAGACCCTGTGGGACGGGCCCATTTCATGGACTTTCTCAGTAAAGAGTTCAGTGGTGAGAAGCCCCCGCCCCTGCTCCCTGCTCGAGCCCCCCCCCCCCAGGTTTCCACCAGCATGGGGTGGGCCTGACCCCGTGCCCGGACCCCCAGCTGAGAACCTCAGCTTCTGGGAGGCCTGTGAGGAGCTGCGCCACGGAGGGCAGGCCCAGGTCCCCGCCCTGGTGGACGCCGTGTACCAGTGAGTGCCGCAGGGTGGGGCGGGGGGCGGGCAGCGGCCAGCCCAAATGGCCCAGACCCACCGGGGCTCCTCTCTCCCATGCCAGGCAGTTCCTGGCCCCCGGTGCTGCCCACTGGGTCAACATTGACAGCCGGACGATGGAGCGGACGCTGGTGGGCCTGGGCCGGCCGCACCGCCATGTGCTGGACGATGCCCAGCTGCATATCTACATGCTGATGAAGAAGGTAGGCGCCTCCTCCCTCGCCGCCCCCCCCCCGCCCCAAGCCGGTGTCAGGTGGCTTCAGTGGCCACAGCTCAGAGGCTGGTCCGCACCTGCTCCCCGTGGCTCCTGCCAGCTTAGTCCCGCAGCTCACACCGCGCTTTACAGAGCAGCAAACCGAGGCTCAGGGCGGCTGCAGGGCTTGTCCAGCCATGGTTGTAAAGTGTTCTAACGTGGAAAAGGTCAAATATGAACGAAAAGTAAATGACGAATCCCCACGTACCTACAGCCCACCTTCACAAACTGTCGACTCGGGGCCTATCTGGACTCACGGTCCATCCTGTCCAGTGGCCTACCACACACCACCCCCCACCCCGCGACTTTAAAGCCATTTCCAGACTTCCTGTCTGTAGGTATTGCAGGAAGTTCCCTTAAAGGACACGGCCACCGCTTCCCTTTCAACATGGCTGCAGAGGCCAGCATCACACGCGAAACACCAACAGTATTTACTCAATGCCCTCGAGTGGCCAGTTGCGTCCCCTTCCCCACGTGACCTCAGGCTAGTTTCCCGCTGCTGCTTATTCTCTGTGCTGTGGAGTGTAGAAGCCTGATGGGGTCTCGGGGCTGAGATCAGGGTGAGAGCAGACTGGTTTCTTCTGGAGCCTCCAGGGGAGAATCCGTCCTCCTTTCTCCAGCTTCTGTGGACACTGTGTTCCTTGATCAGATTGTTTTCAGTTTTGTTGTTGTTGGTTCGGTTTGGTCGGGAATAGTTACTTCAGAGGTGGTGTCCGATGTGTTCTCCACTCGGGAGGGATGTCAGTCCAGCTCTCTCTCTTTTGTGGTGAAAGCAGCCTTTACAGTCTGGCCCAGATCCATGATTTCATGAGGGTATGGGACGTTCTAACCTATCACTGCCTCCCTGTTCTGACGCCTCCTCTCTCTGCTCGTTGCTGGCCCAGTGGTACCGATCATAGAGGAAAGGCAGGACCGAGGCTTGATTCCTCCTTTAAACATATTTATTTATTTATTTATGGCTGCGTTGGGGTCTGCTGCTGCTGTGCGCGGGCTTTCTCTAGTTGCGGCGGGCGGGGGCTACTCTTCGTTGCGGTGAGCGGGCTTCTCATTGCGGTGGCTTCTCTTGTTGCGGAGCACAGGCTCTAGGTGCGCGGGCTTCAGTAGTTGTGGCGCATGGGCTTAGTTGCTCCGCGGCATGTGGGATCTTCCCAGACCGGGGTTGAACCCGTGTCCCCTGCGTTGGCAGGTGAATTCTTAACCACTGCACCACCAGGGAAGTCCTAAACATAATTATTTTTAAATATTTTTTTCCTAATTTTTTTGGTTGCATCGGGTCTTCATTGTGGCACACGGGCTTCTCTCTAGTTGTGGCGTGTGGGTTTTCTCTTCTCTAGTTGCGGCGCTCGGGTTCCAGAGCGCATGGGCTCTGGAGTTGTGGCACGTGGGCTTAGATGTCCTGCTGCATGTGGGATCCTAGTTGCCGGACCAGGGATCAAACTGGCGTCCCCTGCATTGGAAAGCAGATTCTTTACCACTGGACCACCAGGGAAGTCCCTTGATTCCTTCTTTAAGTACCACTTTTCAAAATAAGCAGTTGGACCCCTGGTATCTGCCAAGGGTAGTCAGTGAGGTTGGGATGCTTTTAATACCATTGTAAATTCAAGTTTTGACCATATTTGATGGGTTTCAATCCCTTTCAGTCCTTGTCTCATGGGATGTGCAGAGGTCCCACCCTCTCCGGCTGATTGCTCTTGAGTCCTGTGACGTGTCCGAAATCTATGGTGCTTCCTAGCTTTCTAAGGGGCTGTCCTACTCCAGACCTAAAGCCAGCCATTCCTCGGGCCCTCAGCCCTCCCTCGGGGGTGGTGTTCAGAAACCATGACCTGCACATCAGACCCGTCATAGTGCCAGGGGTGGTCATGGTTCCCAGGACTTTCAGTGGACAGAATCAGGAAATACATGTTTTAAATAAAACATACCAGGAGTTCATACTGATACTTCTAATTCGGAATCAGGATTATAGAGTTTCCTTAACCTCTTTGGCCTCTCTCTCTCTCTCCTCATTCCCCTACTGAACATCTGGGTTTTCAGTGGTGCCAACATAATCACTCACTTGCTTTTTCTCGAGATTCACTCAGTAGCTCAGCTGAGCAGTACGACACTACCATTCACAGTGACTGGGAGTCGTTTACTGTTTGTTTATTCGGTCCTTTGTCCACAGCCCCTCAGATGCCCCTTGGACACTCGGTTACGTGTGGCTAGGGTGGTGTCGCCCGCTGGACGCCCAGCTTCACTTGTCCCCCTTCAGTGTTTGGGGGTTGCTTATTTATTTTGTAATTACATAAAATATCTACACAGCTTCAAAATCCAATCTACAAAGTACATTCAACTAAATCTTGTTTATACCCCTGTCCCTCCACCAGAAGTTAACAATTTAAAATGTGTATTTTTCTTTTTAAAACATAAGCACCTGGGTTCGTAGATTCCTGTCCCTCTTTATTGAATCCCGTGGATTTGTCGACCTTGCCTTTGTCCCGCTCCACATGCCCAGCCTCACTCTGTGCGTCTGCAAGAACTAGTGACACCGGTTCCCTGTCGCAGGAGGCGCCACGTTCACTCCCTGTGTGGGCACCGGGCTCCTGCGTGGTTGGGGGCTGGTCTCCCTGAGCCCGACCCGGTTTGGGCTGGTCTGGGGAGGCTGCTCCGGCCCAGTCCACTGTGGGCCCCGCCCTTGGAGGAGCCTGGGCAGTGCTGGCTGAGACCAGGAGTGGGAAGGGATCAGGCCCAGATGCTGTCTGTTGCAGGACTCCTACCCGAGGTTCCTGAAGTCGGATTTGTACAAAGACCTGCTGGCGGAGGCTGTGGTTCCCCCGGAGACCAAGCGACGGTCAGCCAGGTGGTGCCCAGGGAGGCAGGTGGGATGCCGGGGGTGGCGCCCTGTGCTCAGGCCCCTTCGTCTCCACAGGGTGTTCCCGTTCATGCGGAAGCCGCGCCATTCCAGCCCCAGCCCTGCTCTCCTTCCTGCCTCTGCCTCCAGGGAGCCCTCGGGTGGTGACGGGGAGGCCTAGGTGGGCCTGGGAAGGGGCAGAATGGGGCCATCTTGCCCTCATCAACTCCTCTTGCCCAGGGTCCTTGCAGCCACTGAGACTCCCTGGCGCGGGAGTCCCCTCAGACCCCGAGCGCCCGGCCTTACGGGGGCACCGACCTCTGTGGCTTCCACCTTTCCCCTTGTCACACCCTTCCCCAGAAGGGGCTGTTCGGGTGCTGATTCCCAGGGCAGGGGTGCCCTGGACTGAGACAAGATGGCAGCACACCTGGCATTCCACGCTGGTTCCCACCCCGCCGGTGACTCCCCGGGCAAGATTCATAGTCAGGTGGCTGCCAGCAGGGCGCGTGGGCATGCAGGGGGAGGTGCTGCTCCCACTGGGCCGCGGCCTCTCCGCCTCCGTGGCCACCCGAGGCCCATGGCTTCTCCCCAGTGTTGTACAGAGATGGCTCCAGCATCGTTGCTCCTCCAACAGCCAGCCCTGGTTCACAGCCAGGGCGGCAGAGCCTCTGGGGAAAGACACCAGGGAGTCCCCACTCCGAGGGCCCCCCGAGACTCAGCTGCTCCTTTGGGAGTACAGCCAGACTGGCTCAGCTGGGGCAGCGCCACCCCTCCCTCAGGGCTGCCCACACCCTCCCGCTCCCAGCGCAGAAATAAAAGACCTTTGGGTCCTCACTCTGAGCCTGTCCTGCTGTGGTCCAAATCATGGTGGGTGCACATGTGGTGGGTGTGCTTGTGGTGGGTGTGCATGCACGTGTGGGTGAGGAATGCACTGGTGAGGGAGGTGGTGAAGGACAACAGGAAGTTCAGGTGTCAGAGGCAGTGGGTGGAGGATCCCTTGTGTGGGGTCTGTAGGCCTTGGGCTGGGCTCAGGCTGCAGACTTGGGGAGACAGTGGGGAGCTTGTGCTCTGGTGGCACACGGATGCCTGAGTCTTCCAGGGGAGAGTGAGCAGAGTCCAGGAGGCTGTCTGGTGTTGAACCCAGCCTCTCCAGGGTCAGCTGTGCCCTAAGACATCACAGTGACAGGGAGCACAGTGCGGGCTTTATTTACAAGTCCAGGGTGCACTGGTGAGGTTGTCTCCGGGGCGGCCCAGACCCCAAACTCCTGCACATCATCCTGGAACCTAAAGGCTGGTCCCCGCCCAGAGCCGGCTCCTCCATCCTCTGCTGTGGACCCAGACCTGGGCCCTTGGGCCCGGGTGGCTTCTCACAGGGACACGGAATCCAACCCCTCAACCTCAGCCTTGTTGTTGCCTCCCAGGCCTTCACAAGGAGAAACAGACCTGGTTCTGGAAGCAGGCTTGTCACACGTAAGCGCCTTCAGGAAATTCCTGCAGGATTCTCCACAACAGCCCCCATCACTTTGGTAACCCAAACCTTTGTCTCACTGAAGCCCCCTGGGCTCCTGCTGCCTGGGCGGCTACCAGAGCTCAGTCCTGGAGGACACAGGTGCTGGGGGGGACCCCCTGCCTGTCCCGGGTGGGAGAGTGCCCACAGGCTGGGTTCCTAGCCTGCTGTGGGTGAGCAGGGTGGGAACCACAGACCTGAGATGCACTTGGAGGCCGTGCTGGACGCTCCCAGTCTCTGATTGGGTGGTGTGGGTGCTGGCCTCACCTCCCCAGCAGCCTTTCCCACTGATCCAGCAGACAAACACAGGCACACATGGGGCTTTCCAGACAGTGCAAAACCAGTGTTTATTCTGATTTCTTCCCGAGGCACCCGCGGTCATCAGGCTGCTTGCTTTTGTCCGGGCACGGCTGAGTCCCACAGCACCAGGCGGGTCTGGGGTGACCAAGGCACAGAGGTGAGTCTTGCATCAGGTGACACCGACTGTGGGGGGGTGTCCAAGCACCAGGAAGGAGGGGCCGCTGGCCACACCCAGGGGTGCAGGGATCCCTGAGGGACAAGGAGCTCCAGTGTGTACCCAGGGGTGCACGCTGACCCCAGGGCACATCCTGGGGCCAGGTCCTCGGGACACTCACAGCTCAAGGCAGCCCATCCGTCACATCCTCCCAGGACCCATTCCTCATGGGCCCTGTCATGGGCTCTCCAGGGCGAGTTACCACCAACCACACCAGGGTGTGGGCCTGCGTCAAGCCACCAGGGCCCACCACCCTCTGAGCTCCACGACCCCAGGGAGACAGTGCAAAGAAGGCAAGGCTCAGACAGAAAGAGGGAGGGGATTCTGCAGCCAAGGCTCTGGCCAGGCATGGAGGAGTGAGGGTGAGCTGCTGCCAGCACAGGCTCTGCCCAGGGAGACCTGGGTGGGGCTCGGAGTGGGGACCTGAGTGAGGACCTGGCATGCTGGCGGGAGAGGGGAGAGGCCCTGGCACGTCCCTGGGGTAACGGGCCCAGTGGAGAGCGTCGCCAGGTCACCAGGTCGGGAGTCGGCGTGCAGACCGAGCCAGTGAAGGGCTGACTTCCCAGGATGTGAAATTTCAGCAGCCACCTCCGCTTCGGGCTCTGGCCAAACCACGTCTAGGCCTCGTTCCGGTACCGTAGGCGAGAGAACCGGTCCCTGACGGCCTGGTCGCTGTCGGGGCCACCCTCAGCCAGGCGGACTACCTTGCTGCTCGGGATGAGGTCCCGCACCTTGTGTTTGGCCACAGAGACCAGGCCGGGTGGATCCGGGCTGGCCGGGCCCGTGAGGAGAATGTAGGCAGCGTGGCGGCTCGGCTCAAGCAGAACCACTGTGGGGACATGGCCATCAGGTCCCGGGACCAGCCAGCACAGGCCTCCCATGGCTGGCAGCCCGGGCCCATGCGGGGCGCACTCACCCTGGAAGGTGACAATAGGGGTGGAGATGTTGGCCAGTTCCAGCAGGACTCCGGGCTGCGTGGGGTGGAACATGTACAGGTGGTGCCCGGCGGCTCCGGGCTCCTGCAGGGAGTGCAGCGGGGGCATGAGGCTGACCCTCCTGGACGCTCCTGACTGGGACCACACCCAGAGCTGTGTCCGCCGGCATCCCACAAAACACCCATCTCCCGCCCCCCTTCCCCACCTGACCCTGACCCTTCTCGGTTGTCTTCCAGCTGCCACCCCTCGCACCCACTTCCTCCCAGAAAGCCCAGACCCCCTTTTCCTGCCCACCCTGCATGGCTTCTATCTATCTGCACTCACCCAGCCACCGGCTCCACCCCATGCCACAAACCAGGACCCAAGACTGTACCGTCTGGTTGGCACCAGCCAGCTCGTGGAGGCCCCAGAAGAAGAAGGCGGAGCGGTGGTCTGCGGTGGGAAGGCTGGCGGACCGCGGGTCCCTGGGGAGGCCTGGGAGAGCCTGGCTCCACAGGACAGCCCCGGAGCTGAGGTCCAGCAGCAGGATCTGCAGAGGGAGGGGCAGCACAGGGTTGCGTCCCAGAGGGCGGCTCACCGAAGCCTCTGGTCCCCGCTCAGCCTATGGCTCAGACCAGCTTCCCTCAGCTACGGGCAAAGGTGAGACCCAGGAGCAAGTGCCGCAACCTGTCTCTCGGAGCCGGTCCCGTTCTCAATGACCATGGCTGGGGTGTCGGGTTTGTAGTAGCCGAGGATGGGTTTTCTGGAAGGAGAGTGGAGAGGAGGGCTCACACGGGCCTCTGAAGGAGACACCTGGAATAGGCTGCGGCTGCACCTGCACGGGCCGGAGCTTTGACGCCAGGGGGTCTCACTCTCCTCCCCAAGGGCAGGGTGGCACCAGGTGACAGGCGGTGGCCTCTGGCAGAAGCATACGGGCCTTGTCCCCAGGGCCGCCAGGGGTGGGGGTGGGGGGACACGCTGGGGTACCCAGCTCCCTGGAGAAGGACCCCATACCTCAGGACCTGGGCTGCACCGAGGGTCCACCTGGGCACCAGCTCCTGCCCGTCCAGCAGCACGCAGGCCTCGGAACTCACAAGAAGCAGGTCCTCACCCACCTTCCCTGGAACGTTCATCAGGTAGCGGACAGCTCCCGAGCTACATGGGCAGGAGGGACGGGATAGGGCCCCGGGTAGGGTTGGGGACGGGACCCTCCCCAGCGATGCCTGCCGGGCTGTTTCCCTCAGGCTCCCAGGGCTCAGCCTCATCTTTCTTACTTCTCCAGTTTCAAACTAAAAGGAAGGCCCTCACCGGATGCAGGGACCAGTGAGCCCGGGGGCGGGGGGGCCATCTTCTCCCCCGTTTTTATTCGTCTTCTGTTTGCCGGTTTACTGAGTCTGAGCCCAGGACGACCTCAGACACCTGACACAAAGTAAGGGCCCTGTGCCCGCCCTACGGCTCCTCCTCACGCCCGGGGCCCCGCGCACAGGCCCCCACACCCCCGACCTGTGCTCCTGCAGCCTGTGGGAGGTGGCGTTGAGCCTGCCCTCCCAGAGGGGGTCGCTCTTGAGCGAGCTCTCCCTCCCGGTGGCCTTCTCATACAGGCCCTTCACTGAGTGGCTGCAGAGGGAGGTGCCTGTGAACAAAGAAGAGCCTTGCGTCACCTGTCAGCGGGTGATGACTTCGAGTCCCTGGAACGACAGCGGGAGCCACCAGCCCCACACCTGCTTCCTCCCAGGTGCCAGCAGGCCCACGAGGGAGGCCGCCCTAGGGCAGCGGATGCCACATACCGCAGGGGATGAGGACGTAGTGGGCACCTGCACTGGTGACATAGAGGATGAAGCCGCTGGTCCCGTCCACACCCAGGCTGCCCGGGGGGCCGACTTGCTGCCCGGTGCCGCCTGAATAGACGTAGCCGTTGACCTGCAGCACACGGAGGAGAAGGGGAGCAGGCCCACCCGCTGGGTCGAACCTATAGTGTCTGATGCCAGGAGACGTGGGGCCGCCCGCACCATCCTCAGAGCTGTGCCCATGGCACCAGTGGGAAGCGCACTCTCTGCCACTCTTGGGGGGCCCAGAAGTGCCCGCTGGGTCTGCAGGCACCCGAGCTCGGGGCAGCGGGGGAGGCCAGTGGCTGGAACGAGAGCTGTACCTGGTTCTCCTCCTGGGTGAGGACCAGCAGGTCTGGGACCCCGTCAGCATCAATGTCAGGCACCTGGAGCAGAGGGCTCAGGACGGACACGTTCCCCCCGAAGCTGCTGGGATGGCTCCACAGGGTCTCCCCTAAAACCAAGCACAGGGCCCGTGTGCTGCCATGGAAAAAGACAGGCGTGTGTAGTCGCCTGGTGCCCATAGGCACGTGTCAGCAGCGTCACTTTGGGGCAGCACAGCCCCCTCCTTTCTTCTCATCCTGTTTCCAGTGTTTGGCTGACGCAGATCCTCCCCCTCAGATGGGTAGGGCCTGGCCTCCCTGCCGCCCACTGGGGTCACACATGCAGCCTCTGCCCCGTGCACAGGACGAGAATGAAAGTGCAGCCTTGTGGACGGACCCGGGGACTGAGGTCCTGACCTGACAGCATGTGACCCGAGTATGATCTGCCCACGCCCGTGTTTAGTCAGATTCTTCTCTTCTCAAAATATTTCCAGCTTGCTCTTTATTCTCCTCCCTACTCTTAAAACCACAACTTACAAAGGAAGTGCTGCTACCCCCAAACCTAGCATCAAGGCACAGAATTCCTTAGGGCTTCGGAAAAGGACCAGGGCCTGTTGCCTTAAGGCAGGTCTCGGGGCTCGAGCTAGCCAGGCCCACACACCCCATCCCCGGGGCCTGCCCAATGAGCGGGCGTCAGCAATGCCCCCACCCCCTCCAGGTGCCATGCCGCAGGCACAGGCGGGACTTAGGAGGGGACGACAGTGAAGTGTGACTCCTCATGGGGCGTCCCCCTCCCACCCGTGCCTTCCTTCCTATCCAGCCACACTGCCCACAAGAGCCCGGGCTGACCCTCCTCAGAGCATCCTGGCATCGGACCCGTGTGCGGAGGCCTGGGGGACACGGGAAGCAGCCTACCTGTGACCGAGTCTACCGCAATGAAAGGGCCAGGTCTGCCGAGGATGATGCAGGCAGAAGACGCCCCGCTGCCCCTCGGCTGGGGGACACCGCACTCCACAAGGGCCCTGTTCTGGGCCACGGGCCTCTCCCAGAGGACGGTGCCGTTGGCCCCCGACACAGCGGCCACGAAGGTGCAGGGGGAGGAAAAGCCTGGAGGGAGAGACCCAGGTCTGCAGGGCTGAGCGTGCCGGCCTCGTGCTGTGGCCCTGCCCTGGGCTCTGTCCCTGGATCCCTGGTGTTGACCCCATGGGGTCAGCAGCCCAGTGAGAAGGTGAGTGACATGAAAGTTCCCAGAAATTCCACCAACTGCTTCCCCCAAAACCGAGAGGGCGAGGGGATTCCTCCTCCTGCAGGGAGCTCATTTTTTGGGTAAAAACAAAATTACCTTCATCAGCACAGGAGAGGCTGAAATTGCTTCTGCTGCTGTTGGTGTTTTTATAAAGAAAGAGAACATCCTGGATCCTGTCCTTGTTCACGTCTTCTGTGGCCAGAAAGTCATAGGCAACTGAAAAGGAAACCACCGGCTACTTTCCCAGGCCAGGCCTGACACGCCCCACTCTGGGTGCCGTGGGGCTGAGTGCCAGGTGCAGCTGCCCACGGAGCAACCACAGGGAAGCGCTGCTTCCTCGTGGGCTGGCAGCTCCACACCCCTTCAGAGCAGCAGCAATTCTTCATCACTTGGGTGTCAGTTGGTAAGGACACCTGGGCATCACAAATGGACGTTCTGCACACCTTCTGCTCAGGGCCAAGTCCCTCCCCAATCAGACTGGGGTCTGGAGTCCACATGTCCACACTCACAGGGGCTACCTCTT